TGATCACGCGCAGCGCCACCGTCACCCACACCTACCAGGACACCGGCACCTTCTCGGCCCGCTTGGTGCTCCAGGCCGCCATCCCGCTCAGCCCCTGCGGCCCCACGACCCCTCCCGCTCCCACCGGGGCTCCCACCGGGGCTCCCACCGGGGCTCCCACCGGGGCTCCCACCGAAGCTACCGGGCCCGCGGCCACCAGCCCGGCCGGGGGACAGAGCACGGTGGCCCCGGTGGCCAGCACCGGTAAGGGGAAAGGAAATGGGGGGTGGCATTGCCGGTTGCGGGGGGGGTCACGGTGTTCCCAGTGCTCTGTGGGGTGTGTCACCAGTGTCCCCTCACCCCACAGAGCCACCCCACCCCACGGGGTGTGTCCCCAGTGTCCCCTCACCCCACAGTGTCTGTCCCCAATGTCCCCTCACCCCACAGAGCCACCCGACCCCACAGTGTGTGTCCCCAGTGCCACCAGGGGACGTGGAGCACCCCTGACACTGGAGCTGGGGGGGTTCCGGGGGGTCCCAACCCAGAGGTGACCCCGGCCCGGGTGTTGGGGGGTCCCGGGGTGACCCCAGCCCCACTTTTCCCACAGCCCCCGCATCCTCCGGGGAGCCCGCGGAGCCCACGGGGGGCTCGGCGACGGAACCCTCGGACCCCGCTGTCACCGACCCCGCTGTCACCGACCCCGCTGTCACCGACCCCGCTGTCCCCGTTGTCACCGAGCTCTTGGTCCCCTCCGCCACCGCCCCCGCTGCCAGCACCGCGGCTGTCGCCTCCTCCGTGTCCCCTGCTGTCGCCACCGGGGCCGGGGACATCTCTGTCACTGTGGTGCCCGCGGAGGGGACAGCGGCTGCAGGTGGGTGCTGGCCCGGGCCGGGGGTGGCGACAGCGGGGAGGGGACATGTCGGGGGTGTCCCCAAGGGCTCGCTGTCCCCAAGGATTCGCTGTCCCCAAGGATTCGCTGTCCCCAAGGGCTCGCTGTCCCCAAGGATTCGCTGTCCCCAAGGGTTCACTGTCCCCAAGGGTTCACTGTCCCCTTGTCCTCGCTGTCCCCAAGTTCTCGCTGTCCCCTTGTCCCCGCTGTCCCCAAGGATTCGCTGTCCCCAAGGGTTCACTGTCCCCTTGTCCTCACTGTCCCCAAGTTCTCGCTGTCCCCTTGTCCTCGCCCAGCGTTTCCCGTGTGTCCCTGCAGATGCGGCGACAGACGGAGGCGCGGGTGGTGTCACCGCTGCGGCCACATCTGGATCAGCCACATCTGGACCAGCCACAGCTGGATCAGCCCTCGATGCCACCGCCGCAGCCACGCTTGGCGTCACGGTGGATGCCACCACAGAAGCCACCGCAGGAGCCACCGCTGTGTCCCCGGCCGCTGTCACAGCCGGCGCCACAGCTGCAGCCACATCTGGAGCCACAGCTGGAGCCACAGCTGGAGCCACAGCCCAGCCCCTGGCACTGGTCAAGCGCCAGGCCCCGGCCGAGGACCCGCCCGGCTGTGTCCTGTACCGCTACGGCACCTTCGCCACCCAGCTGGACATCGTCCGTGAGTCCGGGGGTTCGGGGGTCCCGGGGGTTCGGGGGTCCCGGGGGGTCCAACCGGGGGTCCCCAACCCCGCCGACCCCTCCTCGCTTCCCCGCAGAGGGCATCGAGAGCGTGGCCATCGTGCAGGTGGTGCCCGAGGGCGGCGGCAGCAGCGTGGAGCTGACGGTGACGTGCGAGGGCGGGTGAGCGGCGACACCGGCGACACCGGCGGCGACAAAAGCCACGCGCGGGTGTCGCCGGTGCTGACGGGGCTGTGCCCGTAGGGTGCCCGAGGAGGTGTGCACGGTGGTGGCGGACGCCGAGTGTCGCACGGCGGAGGCGGAGTCGTGCTCGGCGGTGTCACCGGCGCTCGGCTGCGAGTTGGTGCTGCGGCAGGACTTCAACCGCTCCGGCCTCTTCTGCCTCAACGTGTCCCTGGCCAACGGCAACGGGCTGGCCGTGGCCACCACCCGCGTGGCCGTGGGAGGTGTGACACGGGGATGGGGTCCCCAAAGTCCCCTGGGTGGGGCTGGGGGGTTCCTGATCCAGGGGGGTGGCAGGGACACGGGGACAGAGTCCTGGGTGTCCCCTGGCCGTGGCCACCACCCGCGTAGCCGTGGGAGATGTGACATGGGGACAGGGTCTCCAAAGTCCCCTGGGTGGGGCTGGGCTGTCACTGCCCCGGTGAAGGTGACAGGGACAGCGTGACAGGGTCCCCAAAGTCCCCTGGGTGGGGCTGGGCTGTCACTGCCCCGGTGAAGGTGACAGGGACAGCGTGACAAGGTCCCCAAAGTCCCCTGGGTGGGGCTGGGGGGGTTCCTGTTCCGGGGAGGGTGACAGGGACACAGGGACAGGGTCCCCAAAGTCCCCTGGGTGGGGCCGGGCTCCTGATCCGGGGTGGTGGCAGGGACACAGGGACCTGTCCCGGGGTATGTCCCCAAAGTCCCCTGGGTGGCGCTGGGGGCTTCCTGATCCTTGGGGGCGGCAGGGACAGGGTCTGGGGGATGTCCCCAAGGTCCCCTGGGTGGCACTGAGCTGTCCCTGCCCTGCTGGAGGTGACAAGGACATGGGGACATGTCCTGGGGGATGTCCCCAAGGTCCCCTGGGTGGCACTGAGCTGTCCCTGCTCTGCCAGAGGTGACAGGGACAGGGTCTGGGGGATGTCCCCAAGGGGTGGCACTGAGCTGTCGCTGTCCCCAGGTGCCACCCCGGCCACCGGCCGCACCACGCTGTTCGTGGGGCTCGTGCTGGTGGCGGCCGCCCTGGGCACGGCCGCGTACACCTACAGGTGAGGGGACACTGGGGACAGCGGGGACATCAGGGGCATTGGGGACATTGTGGACATCAGGGATGTTGGGGACATTGGGGACATCGGGGACATTGGGGACACTGTGGACATCAGGGATGTCGAGGACACTGGGGACACCCCAGAGAGAGGAGGTGACACCGTGGGGTTGGTGACACTCCCTACGGGGTGGAGGTGACACCGTGGGTTTGGGGACACTCTTTATGGGGTGGAGGTGACACCGTGGGTTTGGGGACACTCTTTATGGGGTGGAGGTGACACCGTGGGGTTGGGGACACTCTTTATGGGGTGGAGGTGACACCGTGGGTTTGGGGACACTCTTTATGGGGTTGGGGACATTCCTTATGGGGTTGGGGACATTGGGGACATTCTCTATGGGGTGGAGGTGACACCGTGGGGTTGGGGACACTCTTTATGGGGTGGAGGTGACACTGTGGGGTTGGGGACACTCTTTATGGGGTTGGGGACATTGGGGACACCCCACAGGGAGGAGCTGACACCGTGTGTCACCCCCCCCTCCTCCCCAGACGTGTCAAGGACCCGGCGCTGTCCCCATCACCCCCCACGCCCCGCGGGTGGCCCCGGGGGTGGCTGTCCCCAAATGTCACCGTCCGGCGGCTGCTGCAGCGCATCCTGGGGGGGGTCCCGAGCGGCGAGAGCAGCCCCCTCCTCCAGGGCCGCTCTGTTTAGGGACCCCCGCCCCAAAACCGGCCCCCCAAAACCCCTCCCAGGAAATGCGTGGTGGCCTCGGTGGCACCGAGATTAAATCCCCGATGTGGCTGCGGCTCTGGCTCTGCCTGTGTTTTTGGGGGGGTCCTGGGGTGGTTTGGGTGGGTTTGGGGGTGTCCTGGGGGGTTTTGGGGGGTCCTGGATGGGGTTTGGGGATCTCTGAGGGGATCTGGGGGGGATTTGAGGGGATTTTGGGGTGTCTGGGGGTGTCCTGGAAGGGTTTTGGGGGATTTTGGGATGGGTTTTGGGGGTCTCTGAAGGGATCATGAAGGGTTTTGGGGGAGGTCTGGGATGATTTTGGGGGTCTCTGAGGGGATTCAGGGGGGTTTGGGGGGATTTTGGGGTGGATTTTGGCGTGTCTGAGGTTGTCCTGAGTGGATTTTGGGGAGTCTTGAGGCGTCCCAAGAGGGGATTTTGGGGTGTCCTGAGGGAGTTTGGGGGGTCTGGGGGTATCCTGCGGGGGGGGCCCGAGTGGTGAGAGCAGCCCCCTCCTCCGGGGCCACTCCATTTAGGGACCCCCGCCCCAAAACCGGCCCCCACAACCCCCCCCGGGACACGCGTGGTGGCCTCGGTGGCACCGAGATTAAATCCCCGATGTGGCCGCGGCTCCGGCTCCGCCTGTGTTTTTAGGGGTGTCCCGGGGGGTTTTGGGGGGTACTGGGGTGGTTTGGGCAGGTTTGAGGGTGGTCTGGGAGGGTTTTGTGGGGATTTTGGGGGTCTCTGAGAAGATCCAGGGTGGTTTTGGGGCAATTTGGGGGGTCTCAGAGGGGATCTGGGGGGGTTTTGGTGGATTTTGGGGCAGTTTTGGGGTGTCTGGGGGTGTCCTAGGGGGGTTCTGGGGGGGTTTTTGGGGGAGTTTGAGGGGATCTGAGAGGGTTTTTGGGGTGATTTTCAGGAGTCTCTGAGGGGATCTGCGGACGTTTGGTCTGGGGAGCTCCTGTCTAGGACTTATCCTTCGATGTTCGGATTCTTTGCAGTCAGTCATCCGCTCAGAGCCACAGGGCCCTGAGCAGAAACATCGGCTCTTTTCCCTGGGAAAGAATCTCAGCAGTCCAGGTTCCTGATGTCAGTTTGTAATTCATCCTGTAAGATTGAAAACTCCTTTCCATGGACAGAGATCACAGCCAGTGTCTCTGGGGGCTCTGTCCAGGGGGGTTCTGACCCCTGCCAGGGTCCCAGGGCAGCCAGAGGGATGCTCTGCATTCCCACACCTTTGGGGCGCCGCGGTTTTCCCGATGTTTTCAAGTTTGGAGCTGGACTCTGCCAGGATGAAAAACCTCCTCAGTGCCACAGGACACAAGGCAGGACAGAGGGCAGGACAGAGAGCAGGACACAGGGCAGGACACAGGGCAGGACAGGCAGGACAGAGGGCAGGACACAGGACACAGGGCAGGACACAGGACACAGGGCAGGACACAGGACAAAGGGCAGTACAGAGCCTTCGGGGCTGCTGGCGCTGCTTGCGGCCCCGGTCTGGGCACGGCGGGTGCCCCGGCACCCCGGGACACCATCCCCGGTGCGAGGAAGGAGCGCTCGGGGGATGCGCCGGGACCGGGTGCCGCCGCTGCTCCGAGCCCGACAAGGGGCCAAGGAGCCAGTTTGGCCACCGGGCGAGTCAATGCCCGTTCCTGGGAGCCCCCGCGAGCCCCCCGCCCCAAACGGCCGCGCCGCCCTCGAGCCGGGGGTTCCGCAGCGCTCCCGCCGCCGCAGCCGGACCAGCGGTATCACGGCGAAGGAAGGTGGCGGCGGGGATGGGATATGGTGGGGCGGGAGGGGATGGATGAGTATTTTAGGGTCTTTAGGGTTGGACCCTCCTGCTACCCGTGTAAGGAATGAGAAAAAACTTCGTTTGGTGGGATGGCAGGACTGGGTTTGTGCTGTTTAAGGGCAGGATTGATTTCTTTACTTTTTTTTTGATTTCTTTCCTTTTTTCTGTGGCCAAAACCTCGCCGGGCAGTGCCAGCCCAGCGGGCTTAGGGGGCTTAGAGGGAATTTCCCCGGGGCTCAGGGCTGTAAAACCCTCGGTAGAGGAGTGCGGCTCCATGCCCAGCGCTCGGGGACTGGTGTCACCCAGCGGCGCTGGGAACAGCCGCTTCCAGGTGTTCCAGGAACACCTGCCCAGATGCCAGGCAGCGCAGAACTTCAACCCTCTGCCCTTCCTCCTGCAGCATCCGCCTTTTCACTGCCGCCCTTCAGCTGCACACGCCCACCATGGTGTGCTCCAGCCCCGGGCTCCGGGCTCAGGGACCACCGAGCTCGGGCGAGCCGGACCTGCTGTGGCTGGCCGGCCTCACGGGCGCCCACATCGGCCTGGCCCCGCTCCCCCAGGACCCCGAGGATCGCTGCAGCATCTGGGAGAACCTGGTGAGCCTGGTGGATTTCAAGTGCCCGGGATTTCCCCTGACCGCCGAGGAGATTTGCCACTACATCGACATCCCCCGCTCGGCCGAGACCCCGGCCCGGGTCCTGCCCCGACCCCCCGCGCCCCCGGGGGACCCCGACTACCGGAGCAACGCGCGCCTTAAGCCGCCCTACTCCTACGCCACCCTCATCTGCATGGCCATGGAAGGCAGCGAGCAGCCCAAACTCACCCTGGCAGCGATCTGCAAGTGGATCAGCGACCACTTCTACTATTTCCGCCGTGCCCACCCCAGCTGGAAGGTAGGAGGGGGTTTGGAGCCCTCGGTGGCCGCTCGGGGGTCTCTGCACAGCTCCAGCCCGCAGGGCAGCATTCAGCACCGCGATTTATTCTCTTTGCATCCAGAGCTCCATCCGCCACAACCTGAGCATCAACCAGCGCTTCATCAAGGTGCCCCGCAAGAAGGGGGAGCCGGGCAGAGGCGCCTTCTGGAAGCTTCACCCCCAATACGCCGCGTGGCTCAAGAGCAGCACCCGCCGAGGGCACGGAGCCCTCCCCGAGCCCATCCCGGCCGCTCCCGGTGGAGCCCACCCGGGACCGCGGCGCTCCCCGGGCCCCGCCGCCGCTTCCCGCAGCCCCCGCGGCGGCTTCGAGGTGGGCGCGGAGCTGCAGCGGCTGTTGCGGGAGTTCGAGGAGTTCGAGAGAAGCCACGAAAACGGAGAGGGGCAGCAGGGCGAGCAGCGCTGTCCCATGCCCCCGGTGGAAGCCTCGGGGGACCGGGAGGGACCGGGCGAGCTGACCGAGCTGAAGGGCAGCAGCGAGTGGGAAGTTCTGCTGGAGCAGGGAGATTTCTCCTCTCTTGGGCAGCTCCCACCTTCCACCCAGCCCGGAGCTTTCCCTCTGCACCCCGCAAAGGTGCGGGGGCAGCAGCCGGGCTGGCCGCGAGTCCTCCCCGAGCTCAGCCCCACCAAGGTGGGCTTGGATGAGACCCTGATGGCCACGGCGTTCCTGGAGGCTGCGTGGCACGAGGAGATGTGGGAGAACCTCTCCAGCCTCATCCCCGTGGAGCAGGGGGCTGGAGACATCCCGGCCTCGCTGCCCAGCGCGGGTGTCATGGATTGAGACGCTCAAAACTCGATTAGAGATGGGAGAAAAGAGATTAGATTAGACTCGATGGATTTAGGTACATGGTTTTATGGATGAGGTTTCTTTTTGCTGCTTCCTGTTCTGTTTTTTGCTTGGGGAATGATGCTGAATATACTTAAAATGTTTTCATTCTACTGGCAGTTTTTAAGAGATAGAATAAAGAAAATAAAGCAGAAAAAACTCCTGTTTCACCTTCTGGTTCCCCTCCAGCACCTTTGGGTGGGCCCTGGAGGCCGGGGAGCTCTGCCCAGCCCTGGGGGAAACTGAGGGTGGGACCTGCTGGGCACGGGTGGGGGGCACAGACCTCGTTGGGGGCATCCCCGGTTCCCCCTCAATGCCCCCTGACCCCCCAGTGTGCCCCCAATGTCCCCAGTGTGTCCCCAATGTCCCCAGTGTGCCCCAATGCCCTCAGTGTGCCCCAATGTCCCCAGTGTGTCCCCAATGCCCTCAGTGTGCCCCAATATCCCCAGTGTGCCCCAATGCCCTCAGTGTGCCCCAATGCCCTCAGTGTGCCCCCAGTGTCCCCAGTGTGCCCCCAATGTCCCCAGTGTGCCCCAATGTCCTCAGTGTGCCCCAATGCCCTCAGTGTGCCCCAATGCCCTCAGTGTGCCCCAATGTCCCCAGTGTGTCCCCAATGTCCCCAGTGTGCCCCAATATCCCCAGTGTGCCCCAATATCCCCAGTGTGTCCCCAATGTCCCCAGTGTGTCCCCAATGTCCCCAGTGTGCCCCAATGTCCCCAGTGTGTCCCCAATGCCCTCAGTGTGCCCCAATATCCCCAGTGTGTCCCCAATGCCCTCAGTGTGTCCCCAATGTCCCCAGTGTGCCCCCAGTGTGCCCCCAGTGTCCCCAGTGTGTCCCCAATATCCCCAGTGTGTCCCCAATGCCCTCAGTGTGCCCCAATGTCCCCAGTGTGTCCCCAATGCCCTCAGTGTGCCCCAATGTCCCCAGTGTGCCCCAATGTCCCTCAGTGTGTCCCAATATCCCCAGTGTGTCCCCAATGTGTCCCCAATGCCCTCAGTGTGCCCCAAATGTCCCCAGTGTGCCCCAATGCCCTCAGTGTGCCCCAATGTTCCCAGTGTGCCCCAGTGTCCCCAGTGTGCCCCAATGTCCCCAGTGTGTCCCAATGTCCCCAGTGTGCCCCCAGTGTGCCCCCAGTGTCCCCAGTGTGCCCCAATGTCCCCAGTGTGCCCCAATGTCCCCCGTGTGCCCCAATGTCCCCAGTGTGCCCCAATGTCCCGTGTGTCCCCAATGCCCCCAGTGTGCCCCCCGTGTGCCACAATGTCCCCAATGCCCTCAGTGTGCCCCCAGTGTCCCCAGTGTGTCCCCAATGCCCTCAGTGTGTCCCCAATGTCCCGTGTGTCCCCAATGCCCCCAGTGTGCCCCCCGTGTGCCACAATGTCCCCAATGCCCTCAGTGTGCCCCCAGTGTCCCCAGTGTGCCCCAATGTCCCCAGTGTGCCCCCAATGTCCCCAGTGTGCCCCAATGTCCCCAGTGTGTCCCCAATGTCCCCAATGTCCCCCCAGTGTCCCCAGTGTATCCCAGTGCCCCCCAGCCCGTGACACTCCAGCCCTTTGTGTCCCTCAGGGACACCTCCGAGCCCTGTGCCCCCAAAGGTGCCCCCAAAGGTGCCCCCAAAGGTGCCCCCAAAGGTGCCCCCAGCCCCAGCGTGCCCCATCCCAGCACCCCCGGTGCCCCCCAGCCCTTCTCGCCGTGCCCCCGGCCCCTTCCAGGTGACACAGGGGTGACACAGGGGTGAGGTGACAGAACTGAGGGGTGACAGAACTGGGAGGTGACATATGGCTGAGAGGTGACAAACAGCTACAGAGGTGACACAGAGCTGGGAGGTGACAAAGAGCTGAGAGGTGACACAGCACTGAGGGGTGACAAATGGGTGACACAGGACTGAGGGGTGACAAGTAGGTGACAGAACTGAGGGGTGACAGGGCTGAGGGGTGACAAATAGGTGACAGGGCTGGGAGGTGACAGTGGGGTGACACAGGGCTGGGAGGTGACAAGGAGCTGGGAGGTGACACAGGAATGAGGGGTGACAAATGGGTGACACAGGGCTGAGGGGTGACAAATAGGTGACAGGGCTGGGAGGTGACAGTGGGGTGACACAGGGCTGGGAGGTGACACAGGCCTGAGGGGTGACAAACAGCTCAGAGGTGACACGGGAGGTGACAAATGGGTGACACAGGGCTGGGAGGTGACAGGGCTGAGGGGTGACAAAGCGGGTGACACAGGGCTGAGGGGTGACAAACAGCTCAAAGGTGACAAGGGGCTGAGAGGTGACAAATGGGTGACACAGGATCAGGAGGTGACACAGGGCTGAGGGGTGACAAAGAGCTGAGCAGTGACACAGGACCGGGAGGTGACACGGAGCTGGGAGGTGACACAGGGGTGACACAGGGCTGAGGTGACAGAACTGAGGGGTGACACACGGCTGGGAGGTGACAAAGGGGTGACAAAGGACTCAGAGGTGACACGGGGCTCAGAGGTAACAGCACTGAGGGGTGACAGAACTGGGAGGTGACACATGGCTGAGAGGTGACAAAGAGCTCAGAGGTGACACAGAGCTGGGAGGTGACACGGGACTGAGGGGTGACAAATGGGTGACAGGGCTGGGAGGTGACAAAGGGGTGACACGGGGCTGGGAGGTGACACAGGCCTGAGGGGTGACAAACAGCTCAGAGGTGACACGGGAGGTGACAAATGGGTGACACAGGGCTGGGAGGTGACAAGGAGCTGGGAGGTGACACAGGAATGAGGGGTGACAAATGGGTGACACAGGGCTGAGGGGTGACAAATAAGTGACAGGGCTGGGAGGTGACACAGGGCTGAGGGTGAAAATCCTCATTTTCCCGTATTTTTGACCCCCACGGATCCCCTGCTCCCCCAGCCCGTGTCCAGGGGGTGACCCCAGATGGGTCCCCCAGCGTGGGGCCGGGTGCTGCTGCCCCAAAAGACCAGAACTACCAAAATTTATTCTACTTTCACCTGATTTCAATGTTCCTGCAGCAACCCTTTGCATTTTAATATCATTTTTATTGGATTTAATCCACCAGATCCTGGTTGATCCTGGTGCTTGAGTCCCCCCTGCCCCCCAAAATCCAATGTCCCCTTCAATTCCTCCAAGCTCCCACTGGATTTTTTGGTTTTATTTTCACAAATTTTGTGATTCCAAAGCTTCTCTTCAACGTTACAATTTTTTTTTTTCCTCAGCCGTGCCCGGGAATAATGGGCACGTTCATAATGGGCTCCTTTTTCCTGAATAATGCTGTATTTAAGGGGAATATTTAAGTGGAAAAAGAAAACAAATGGTTAAATTAGATGTGAGTCGTGGCTGAAAAGGGGTTAAACATCCCCAGTGGTGAATTCCTTCAAGGGGGGGCTCTGAAATCCCCAAAAAGCAGCAGGAAGGGTGAGGAAAGGGGTGGCTCCCACCCCTTTATACCCCAAAAATGCTTCAAAAAGGAAATTTTGCAGGTGTCCCCATGGCCACCTGTGCAGGTGTCCCCTTGTGGGGCACCAGAGTCACCCCCAAAACCCCCGGGGCCACCAAATCCTGTGACAAAGCGGCCCCGTTTTGGGGTGAATTCCCTCTGCAGCAGGAATTCCTCAGGCAGGGGGGGTAAAGTGGAACCCCCAAAATCCCCATGGGGGGAAATGCAGGGGGGAAGGTCAAAGGGGCTTCGACGAGGCTGAATTTGGGGGTGCAGTCCTGGGACCCCCACACCCGGCCCTTCCCGGCCTCCCCCGTGGGCTCCACGCCCCTCCAGCCACCCCAGAACCCCAAAAACCTCCCAGGAGATCCCACAGGAACACCCCAAAGATCCCAGAAGAACATTCCAAAGATCCTACAGGAACATCCTGAAGAAAGATCCTACAGGAACATCCCAAATATCCCACAGGAACATCCCAAAGATCTCAAAGGAACATCCCAAATATCCCACGGGAACATCCCAAAGGTCCCACGGGAACATCCCAAATCAGGAACATCCCAAAGATCCCAAAACAGGAACATCCCAAAGATCCCATGGGAACATCCCAAAGAAATAAAGATCCTACAGGAATATCCCAAATATCCCACAGGAACATCCCAAAGATCTCAAAGGAACATCTCAAATATCCCACAGGAACATCCCAAAGATCCTACAGGAATATCCCAAACAAAGATCCCACAGGAACATCCCAAAGACCCCACAGGACCATCCCAAAACAGGAACATCCCGAAGATCCCAGGGGAACATCCAGCAGATCCCACAGGAACATCCCAAAACAGGAACATCCCAAATATCCCACAGGAATATCCCAAAGATCCCACAGGAACATCCCAAAGGTCCCACAGGAACATCCAGCAGATCCCACAGGAACATCCCAAAGATCTCAAAGGAACATCCCAAATATCCCACAGGAATATCCCAAAGGTCCCACAGGAACATCCCAAAAATCCCACAGGAATATCCCAAAGGTCCCACGGGAACATCCCAAAGATCTCAAAGGAACATCCCAAATATCCCACAGGAACATCCCAAAGGTCCCATGGGAACATCCCAAAGATCTCAAAGGAACATCTCAAATATCCCACAGGAACATCCTGAAGAAAGATCCTACAGGAACATCCCAAAGATCCCATGGGAACATCCAGCAGATCCAACAGGACCATCCCAAAACGGGAACATCCCAAAGATCCCAAAACAGGAACGTCCCAAAGATCCCACGGGAACATCTCGAAGATCCCACAGGAACATCCCGAAGATCCCAGGGGAACATCCCAAAACAGGAACATCCCAAAGATCCCAGGGGAACATCCCAAAACGGGAACATCCCGAAGATCCCAAAACAGGAACATCCCGAAGATCCCAGGGGAACATCCAGCAGATCCCACAGGACCATCCCCAGCTCAGGGAGCCGCTCGCTCTGCCCCAATTAACGCGCTGCAGTTAATTACTGGCACAGGAACTCCAGCTCTCGTGGCCGTGCCCGCGGCTCTGCAGGAGGGTCGGTGGGCGCAGGGCGGGCACGCAGGGGCACCCAGGGGTGCCCAGCAGGGCTGGGTGCTCGGGGAGTGTCACTCCGGGGGCTGCCCGGCGTTGAGGGCCAGCAGGACCATGCTGTGGGCCAGCAGGGAGACCTCCGAGGCTGCGGGGCACAGCGGGGTGAGCGACGGGCACCGGGGGCACTGGGGGCACTGGGGGCACTGGGAGAACTGGGAGAACTGGGAGAGGTGGGGCTGGGGTGGGAGTGGCACTGGGAGGCACTGGGGGGGCTGGGGTGGGCACTGGGTGGACTGGGCAAGCACTGGGGGAGACTGGAAGAGATGGGGCTGGGATGGGAGTGGCACTGGGAGAACTGGGAGCACTGGGATGGGCACTGGGAGAACTGGGAGAGGTGGGGCTGGGGTGGGAGTGGCACTGGGGGCACTGGGAGAGGTGGGGCTGGGGTGGGAGTGGCATTGGGAGAACTGGGAGCACTGGGATGGGCACCGGGGGCACTGGGAGAACTGGGAGAGGTGGGGCTGGGGTGGGAGTGGCACTGGGAGAACTGGGAGAACTGGGAGAGGTGGGGCTGGGGTGGGAGTGGCACTGGGAGAACTGGGAGAACTGGGAGAGGTGGGGCTGGGGTGGGAGTGGCACTGGGGGGCACTGGGACAACTGGGGTGGGCACTGGGTGGGCTCTGGATAGACTGGGGGGCACTGAGGGCACTGGGAGAGGTGGGGCTGGGGTGGGAGTGGCACTGGGAGAGGTGGGGCTGGGGTGGGAGTGGCACTGGGGGACACTGGGAGTGCTGGGGTGGGCATAGGATGGGGTCTGGGTGGGCTCTGAGTGGACTGGGGGGCACTGGGAGAACTGGGAGAGGTGGGGCTGGGGTGGGAGGGGCACTGGGGCACTGGGATAACTGGGGTGGGCACTGGGTGGGCTCTGGATGGACTGGGGGGCACTGGGGGCACTGGAAGAGATGGAGCTGGGGTGGGAGTGGCACTGGGAGAGGTGGGGCTGGGGTGGGAGTGGCACTGGGGTGGGCATTGGGAGTGCTGGGGTGGGCACAGGGGGAGCACTGGGATGGGCACTGGGAGCACTGGGAGCACTGGGATGGGCACAGGGGGAGCACTGGGATGAGCACTGGGGGCACTGGGGCACTGGGATGGGCACGGGGAGCACTGGGAGCACTGGGAGCACTGGGATGGACACTAGGAGCACTGGGAGCACTGGGATGGGCACTGGGAGCATGGGATCGGCACTGGGAGCACTGGGATGGGCACTGGGTGGGCACTGGGAGCACTGGGATGGGCTCAGTGAGCACTGGGGGCACTGGGATGGGCACTGGGAGCACTGGGATGGGCACGGGGAGCACTGGGAGCACTGGGATAGGCACTGGGAGCACTGGGATGGGCACTGGGATGGGCACTGGGAGCACTGGGAGCACTGGATGGGCACTGGGAGCACTGGGGGCACTGGATGGGCACTGGGGGCACTGGGAGCACTGGGATGGGCACTGGGATGGGCACTGGGCTCCTGATCCCACATCTCCCCCCCACTCCCCTCCCTCGGGGCTGCACGCTGCCAGCAGAGCTCGGCAGGACTGGCACACCTGGGCACAGGCTGTGCCCAGGTGAGCCCAGCCGGGCACAAACCAGCCCAGAAGTGCCCAGCCGTGCCAGGGCCGTGCCCAGGGAGGGATTTGGGCTGTGGTGCCCTGGCACAGGTACCTTGGAGCTCACAGGAGAGACGGAGCCACCGCTCCAGCCACGCCCGGCACTCGGCATGGCCCAGGTGAGAGGAGCTGAGCCCACGCAGGAAACACGCCTGGGACAGATGGACACGGGTGGGGATGGACAGACGGACATGGGCAGGGATGGACACACGGACACGGGTGGGGATGGACAGACAGACACGGGCGGGGATGGACACACAGACACAGTCAGGGATGGACACACGGACACGGGTGGGGATGGACACACGGACAGGGATGGACACACGGACACGGGCGGGGATGGACACACGGACACGGGCAGGGATGGACACACGGACACAGTCAGGGATGGACACACAGACACGGGTGGGGATGGACACACGGACACGGACAGGGATGGACACACGGACACGGGTGGGGATGGACACACGGATACAGCCGGGGATGGACAGATGGACACGGCTGGGGATGGACACACGGACACGGACAGGGATGGACATGGGTGGGGATGGACACACAGACACGGGCAGGGATGGACACACGGACACGGGCCGGGATGGACACACGGACACGGGCAGGGATGGACACATGGACATGGGCAGGGATGGACACACGGACACGGACAGGGATGGACACAGGGACATGGCCAGGGATGGACACACGGACACGGGCAGGGATGGACACACGGACACGGGCAGGGATGGACACACGGACACGGGCGGGGATGGACACATGGACACGGGCGGGGATGGACACACGGACATGGCCAGGGATGGACACACGGACACGGGAAGGGATGGACACACGGACATGGCAGGGATGGACACACGGACACGGGCAGGGATGGACAGACGGGCAGGGATGGACACACGGACACGGGAGGGGATGGACACACGGACATGGGCGGGGATGGACACACGGACACGGGCAGGGATGGACAGACAGATATGGCAGGGATGGACACACGGACATGGGCCGGGATGGACACACGGACACGGGCAGGGATGGACACACGGACACGGGCGGGGATGGACACACGGACACGGGCAGGGATGGACACATGGGCAGGGATGGACACATGGACACGGGTGGGGATGGACACACGGACATGGGCGGGGATGGACACGGCTAAGGATGGACACACGGACACGGACAGGAATGGACAGACGGACAGGGATGGACACACGGACACGGGCGGGGATGGACACATGGACATGGGTGAAGATGGACACACAGACATGGGCTGGGATGGACACATGGGCAGGGATGGACACACGGACATGGCCAGGGATGGACACACGGACATGGCCAGGGATGGACACACAGACATGGGCAGGGATGGACACACGGACACGGGCGGGGATGGACAGATGGACACGGGCAGGGATGGACACACAGACACGGGCAGGGATGGACACACAGACACGGGTGGGGATGGACACACGGACACAGCCAAGGATGGACACACGGACACGGGTGGGGATGGACACACGGACACGGGTGGGGATGGACACACGGACACGGGCTGGGATGGACACATGGATACGGGCAGGGATGGACACATGGACGGGGATGGACACACGGACATGGGCGGGGATGGACATGGCCGGGGATGGACACACAGACACAGCCAGGGATGGACACAGGGACACGGGCAGGGATGGACACACGGACACGGCCAGGGATGGACACACGGACACGGGCGGGGATGGACACATGGACACAGGCAGGGATGGACACATGGACACGGGTGGGGATGGACACACGGACATGGCCGGGGATGGACACACAGACACGGCCGGGGATGGACACACGGACACGGGTGGGATGGACAGACAGACATGGGCAGGGATGGACACACGGACACGGGCAGGGATGGACACACGGATATGGGCGGGGATGGACACACGGACACGGGTGGGGATGGACACACGGACATGGCTGGGGATGGACACACGGACATGGGAAGGGATGGACACATGGACATGGGCTGGGATGGACACATGGACACGGCCAGGGATGGACACACGGACACGGGCAGGGATGGACACACGGACACGGGCAGGGATGGACACACGGACATGGGCAGGGATGGACACACGGACATGGCTGGGGATGGACACACGGACACGGGCGGGGATGGACACATGGACACGGGCGGGGATGGACACGGGCAGGGATGGACACACGGACACGGGCAGGGATGGACACATGGACACGGCTGGGGATGGACACACAGACACGGGCTGGGATGGACACACGGACACGGGCAGGGATGGACACACGGACACAGCTGGGGATGGACACACGGACACGGGCAGGGATGGACACACGGACATGGGCAGGGATGGACACACAGACACGGCCAGGGATGGACACGGGCAGGGATGGACACACGGACACGGGCAGGGATGGACACGGGCAGGGATGGACACACGGACACGGGCAGGGATGGACACACAGACACGGCCAGGGATGGACACACGTGCAGGGATGGACACACGGACCTCCAGCACCACCCCAGTTCCCCCTCCAGGAGGGGAATTAAAGTCAGGATCCCCTCCCCACCCAGCAGTGACCCCCGCGTGGCAAACGCTTCCCCAGAAAGGAGCAAGCTCATGCCCCGGGTGCCACCCGAGGTGCCACCCGAGGTGCCCACAGCCTGGCACGGGCTCTGGGGGCTCTCACCGCTCGCAGCTCCTCCTCGGAGAGCTGCCCCAGCCCCAGGAGCAGCAGGGCCCGGTCCAGCTGGCGGATCTCCAGGACGTGGCTGCGCAGGCGGCGCCGCAGGAGGAAGGCCGGGAGGTGCGGGCTCAGGAACAGCACCTGGCTCAGGGCTCTCTGCAGGAGCAGGAGGGCACCGGTGAGTGCCCATCCCTCCCGGTGAGTGCCCATCCCTCCCGGTGAGTGCCCATCCCTCCCGGTGAGTGCCCATCCCTCCCGGTGAGTGCCCATCCCTCCCGGTGAGTGCCCATCCCTCCCGGTGAGTGCCCATCCCTCCCGGTGAGTGCCCATCCCTCCTGGAGCACACCTGGGCTCCTACAGCTCCGAAAATATCCAACCTGAGCTTGCTGGAGCTAAATAGGTCATGGTGGTGCTGTCCATGGTTTAAGGGAGGGGCAGAGACTTGGGCACTGATTTTATTTGTGCACTGGTTTTATTTGTGCATTGATTTTATTTGTGCACTGGTTTTATTTGTGCACCGGTTTTATTTCTGCATTGATTTTATTTGTGCACCAGTTTTATTTGTGCACTGATTTTATTTGTGCACCGATTTTATTTGTGTGCTGGTTTTATTTGTGCATTGCTTTTATTTGTGCACTGATTTTATTTGTGCATTGATTTTATTTGTGCATTGATTTTATTTGTGCGGTGATTTTATTTTTGCACTGATTTTATTTGTGATTGACTTTGTGTGCTGATTTTATTTGTGCACCGGTTTTATTTCTGCATTGATTTTATTTGTGCACTGGTTTTATTTGTGCATTAATTTTATTTGTGCACCGGTTTTATTTGTCCAGTGATTTTATTTGTGCACTGATTTTATTTGTGCCCCGATTTTATTTGTGCACCGATTTTATTTGTGCATTGGTTTTATTTGTGCACCGATTTTATTTGTGCACTGGTTTTATTTGTGCATTGATTTTATTTGTGCACTGGTTTTATTTGTGCATTGACTTTATTTGTGCATTGATTTGTGCACCGATTTTATTTGTGCACCGATTTTATTTGTGCATTGATTTTATTTCTGCACCGATTTTATTTGTGCACCGGTTTTATTTGTGCACAGATTTTATTTGTGCACTGATTTTATTTGTGTATGGAATTTATTTGTGCACTGATTTTATTTCTGCGTTGATTTTATTTGTGCACTGATTTTATTTGTGCACTGATTTTATTTCTGCATTGACTTTATTTGTGCCCTGATTTTATTTCTGCACTGATTTTATTTCTGCATTGATTTTATTTGCGCACTGATTTTATTTCTGCACTGATTTTATTTCCCAATCCACTCATCAGCCTCCACTGAAACAATGGCAAGGACACACTTCCCCAAATCCTCCTCTGGAGGTTTTCAGCACCTCCACATCCTCCTCATGCTGGAGGTGGGCTCTCACCTGAGCCCCCCTCACCTGCTGCCAGGACCCCTGTGCTGGGCAGATTTTGGGGTACAGCTGAGCTGAACTCACCACATGATCCACGTGGAGGTTGCTGAGCAGCAGCAGAGAGCCCGAAAATGAACTCCTCACAGCCAGGAGCTGTGCCAGCTGGGGCTGGGCACCTCCCTGCACCTGCAAGAGCCCAGGTGGGCACAGGTGAGACCTCCCACAGCCCCAGGTTTGGCTTTTCCACCCTTCACACCCTCTGCTGCTTTGCTCTCTGGGTCTGGGATTCAGATTATGGGATGGGAGCTCTGCTCACACAGACAAAATTCCTGCTCCAGATGGGGACAAGGAAAAAGGATCTCAGCCTCAGGGCCAAGAGCAGAAATAATGGAGAATTAAAGAGAGAAAAACAAAAAGGATGGGATTTCATGAGCTGGGCTGAACTTGGACAGTTAACCCCAGCATGCAAATGGACCAAAAGTTATAAAATGAGAGACTTTGTGACCGGGGTCCATTTTTGTGACCATGTTGGGTTCATTTTGTGACCATTTTGGGTCAATCTTGGGTTCATTTTGTGACCATTCTTGGGTTCACTTCCTGACCATCTTGGGTTCATTTTGTGACCATTTTGGGTTAATTTTGTGACCATTTTGGGTCCCATCTTGGGTTCATTTTCCGACCATCTTGGGTTCATTTTGTGACCATTTTGGGTTAATTTTTGGTTCATTTTGTGACCATTTTGGGTTCAATTTGTGACCATTTCGGGTCAATCTTGGGTTCATTTTGTGACCATGTTGGGTTCATTTTGTGACTATTTTGAGTCCATCTTGGGTTCATTTTGTGACCATTTTGGGTCCCATATTGGGTTCATTTTCTGACCATTTTGGGTTCACCTTGGGTTCATTTTGAGACCATTTTAGATTCATCTTGAGTTCATTTTGTGACCATTTTGGGTCAATCTTGGGTTCATTTGTGACCATTTTGTGACCATTTTGGGTTCACCAGGGGTGCAGCCCTGGCTGAGTTCTTGTGCTGCCCGAGGTGGATCCATTGAAAACCAAAAGAAAACCCCATTCTCCCCACCACAACAGGGGGACCCAACCCCGTAACAAAGACTACTGATATTACCTCACTCTCAACCCCTAAAAAAACCCCCAAAAATGAATTTCTTTCATCTTTAACACATCAGATTATTAATTATATATTAAAAAAAAAACTTTAACCTTATTTCACTAAATTTTCCCCCATTCTAAAGCCCAGCCAGGGGCAGGGTGTGGCACAGACCTGGGCACAGAGCTGCAGCAGGAGGTGCCGGGGCTGGGGCTCGGGCAGGGCACGTGCCACCCGTGCCAGTGCCCGCAGCACGGCCGGGTACACGGCCCTGCGGCGGCGTTCATAGGCAGCCAGGAACTCCAGCTGCTGCCTGGGCGTCCAAAAGTGCCTGATCAGGAGCTGCCGGGGGAAGAAATACCTGGGAAAACACAGAGGGAATCAGACAGGGCAGGGGAGCCTGGCTGCTGTCACTGGGAAATGATCAGTGCTGACTCCACAATTCACAGGAGCTGATCAATCCCTGCATTATAAATGGCATCATTGAGAAACCCATTGCTCTTATATTTTTAATGATACAGGTAAATCTAACTGGTCCTCTGATTAAAAATTAAAAACAATCACCACGTGCTTTCTCTGGGAAAGGCTGTGGGAAAAATCAGAGAAATGAATGAGGAACAATTATTATCTTCACTTGCTGTTGTGAACATGTGCAGTGAGTTGTGGAGATTGGTTTACCAAAGGGTTGGCACAGGTTGCCCGGGTGGCATGGCCCGGTAGGAAGCCCTTTGGGCACCCAGGAACTCCAGAAGTGCCTGAGCAGGAGATGCTGAAGGAAGAAACACCTGGAAAAACACAGAGGGAATCAGGCAGGGCAGGGGGGCCTGGCTGGTGTCACTGGGAAATGATCAGTGCTGACTCCACCATTCACAGGAGCTGATCAATCCCTGCATTATAAATGGCATCATTGAGAAACCCATTCCTCATATATTTTTAATGATACAGGTAGATCTAATTGGTCCTCTAATTAAAAATTACAAGTCCTCTAATTAAAAATTAAAAACCATCTCCATTGGCCAATTAAGAAACCGCACCTTGGTAAACAAATCTCTGTAACACCTTGCACATGTTCACAACAGCAGGTGCAGCCAGTAAAGATGAGAATTGTTTCTCATTCTTTTCTCTGATTTTTCTCACAGCCTCTCCCAGCAAGGCCTGGGAAGGTTGTGCTGCTCTCCGTGGCCAGGGAGCTGCTGGCACAGGTTGCCCAGAGAGACAGCAGAACTGCCAAATCCCAGAGGTTTTTATTTTATTATTATTACTGTGTGTTAATATTTATTAATATTATTACATTATATTTAGTGATATGATTATTATTTCTTTTATTGAATTATTTCAATTGATTCCATGATTCCTCTGGGTGGGATGAGCTGGAAGCTGGACTGCCAATCCAGCACTCAGCTCCCAGATCTGGCACTGCCAATCCAGCACTTGGGAGCTGGCACTGCCAATCCAGTTTGTTACCAAATCCTCAGGAATCCATCAAGGCTGTTGGAACATAATTTGTGCTACATTAAGAAAGAAGAGGCTGGAAACTGAATACCAGGAGCACAAGAACTGGATAACAGAGGGCTGTGAAACACCTGGAGGTGACCAATCCCCCCTCTGAGAAATGCAGAGAATGAGGAACAAGACAAAGGCACCAATCCAGAAATGCAGATGTAAATGTAGAAATTCTGTGCTTGTAGAATCCATAAATATTTGTGTAATGTAAACAACAAACAGCTCCTGCTCCACCACACCTGCCAGCTGCTCAGGAGCCCTGGATTTCCCATAATATTCCTTCTTCCAGTGGGAAATTCCTGCCTCTAGAACCCCCTGCAGGAAATTTGGGACTGGGGAGCTCAGAGCTGGGTACTCACATCAGCAGCAGCACCAGGAAGTTGGCGAAGGGGGGGATGGCGATGATCCCGATGGGAATGATCTTCAGCAGGTCCCTGCGGAACTGACGGGGGCAGAGGGAGCTCAGTCAGCACCAGGCTCCCAAAAACCCCAAAAATTCCCCTCCCAGTGCTGGCTGCAGCTCCCACTCCCGGGTTTTGGGCAGGGAAGGTGTCCCAGAGGAGCTGCAGCCGTTCCCTGAGGGCAGAGATGGGGCAGGGGAGGGGCGGAAGGGAAGGGACACAAAAATGGGGCTGAGGGGAGGCAGAGGAGGCAGGGATGAAGCTGAGTGAGGCAGGGATGAAGCTGAGTGAGGCAGAGGAGGCAGGGATGAAGCTGAGTGAGGCAGGGATGAAGCTGAGTGAGGCAGAGGAGGCAGGGATGAAGCTGAGTGAGGCAGGGATGAAGCTGAGATGAGGCAGAGGAGGCAGGGATGAAGCTGAGGTGAGGCAGGGATGAAGCTGAGTGAGGCAGAGGAGGCAGGGATGAAGCTGAGGTGAGGCAGGGATGAAGCTGAGATGAGGCAGGGGAGGCTGAGATGAGGCAGAGGAGGCAGGGATGAAGCTGGGTGAGGCAGAGGAGGCAGGGATGAAGCTGAGTGAGGCAGGGATGAAGCTGAGGTGAGGCAGAGGAGGCAGGGATGAAGCTGAGATGAGGCAGGGGAGGCAGGGATGAAGCTGAGTGAGGCAGAGGAGGCAGGGATGAAGCTGAGTGAGGCAGAGGAGGCAGGGATGAAGCTGAGTGAGGCAGAGGAGGCAGGGATGAAGCTGAGTGAGGCAGAGGAGGCAGGGATGAAGCTGAGGCAGGAATGAGGCAGGGATGAAGCTGAGTGAGGCAGAGGAGGCAGGGATGAAGCTGAGGTGAGGCAGAGGAGGCAGGGATGAAGCTGAGTGAGGCAGGGATGAAGCTGAGTGAGGCAGAGGAGGCAGGGATGAAGCTGAGGCAGGAATGAGGCAGGGATGAAGCTGAGTGAGGCAGAGGAGGCAGGGATGAAGCTGAGGTGAGGCAGGGATGAAGCTGAGTGAGGCAGAGGAGGCAGAGATGAAGCTGAGGTGAGGCAGGGATGAAGCTGAGGTGAGGCAGATGAGGCAGGGATGAAGCTGAGTGAGGCAGGGGAGGCAGGGATGAAGCTGAGTGAGGCATGGGAGGCAGGGATGAAGCTGAGATGAGGCAGAGGAGGCAGGGATGAAGCTGAGGTGAGGCAGGGATGAAGCTGAGGTGAGGCAGGGATGAAGCTGAGTGAGGCAGAGGAGGCAGGGATGAAGCTGAGGTGAGGCAGAGGAGGCAGGGATGAAGCTGAGTGAGGCAGGGGCACCCCACTGACCTGGCGCAGCCGCTCCATGTCCCGGTACGGGAGTTGCTGTGGGCTCAGCTGCAGCTGGGACATCCTGGCCCTGATCCTCCTGATCTCCTGCAGCTCCAGGAACAGCGCCTGCAGCCCTGCAGGGACACAGCTGCCTCAGGAACCCACCCCGAGGCGCTGCACGGCTGCTGCACGGCTGCTGCAGCTGCAGCCCCACTGCAACAGAGTCCTCCTTCCCAGAGCTGGCACCTCTTGTGGGACACAGATGTTGGGGCACCCCCATCAGACCCCTTTTTCTTGGGATACTCCTTTTTGGAACTCCCCACCCTCTTGCAGACCCCTCTTTTTCTGGACCACCCATTTGGGACCCAGATATTTGGACTCCCCACCTCTTGGGTTCCCCCTTTTTCAAACACCCCAAAAAAAGTGACTTTTTCAGACCCATTTTTTTGGACCCACGAGCTGGGACCCCCCTTTTGGGACCCAGATGTTTGGACTCCCCACCTCTTGGGATACCCGTTTTTGGAACACCCCCAAAAAAGTGGGTTTTTCAGACCCTTTTTTATGTTTTTTTTAAATTCACCTTCTGGGACCTCCCATTTGGAACCCAGATTTTTGGGCCCCCCCATCAGCACCCCTTTTTCTTGTGGTTCCTTTTTGGAACACCCCAAAAGTAGTGGATTCTTCAGACCCATTTTTTTGGACTCACCTGCTGGGATCCCCCTTTTGGGACCCAGACATTTGCACTCCCTTATCAGCCCCCATTTTTTTGGGACACCCCTTTTTGGAACACCCCAAAAAAAGTGGGTTTTTCAGACCCATTTTTTTTGGACCCACAATTTAGAACCTCTTTGGGGAACCAGAAGTTTGCACTTCCCCATCAGCACCCCATTTTTTTGGACACCCCACCCTCTTTCAGACCCCTCTTTTTCTGGAACCCCAGCTTAGGACCCAGATCTTTGGACTCCCCACCTCTTGGGTTCCCCCTTTTTCAAACACCCCAAAAAAAGTGGGGTTTTTCAGACCCTTTTTTATTTCTTTTTTAATTCACCTGCTGGGACCCCCTTTTGGGACCCAGATTTTTGCCCCCCTCCCATCAGCACCCCTTTTTCTTGTGGTTCCTTTTTGGAACACCCCAAAAAAAAGTGGGTTTTTCAGACCCTTTTTTTTAAATTCACCTGCTGGGACCCCCCTTATAGGACCCAAATTTTTGCCCCCCCCCCACCCTTTAGCACCCCATTTTCTTGGGTTCCCCCGTTTTGGAACACCCCCAAAAAAGGGGGTTTTTCAGACCCTTTTTTATTTTTTTTTAATTCACCTTCTGGGACCCCCCTTTTGGGACCCAGATTTTTTGGGCCCCCCCCATCAGCACCCCTTTTTCTTGTGGTTCCTTTTTGGAACACCCCAAAAGTAGTGAGTTTTTCAGACCCATTTTTTTGGACCCACCTGCTGGGATCCCCCTTTTGGGACCTCTTTTGGGACCCAGACATTTGAACTCCCTCCTCAGCCCCCCCTTTTATTGGGACACCCCTTTTTGGAACACCCCAAAAAAAGTGGGTTTTTCAGACCCATTTTTTTTAAATTCACCTTCTGGGACCCCCCTTTTGGAACCCAGATTTTTGCCCCCCTCCCATCAGCACCCCATTTTCTTGGGTTCCCCCGTTTTGGAACACCCCAAAAAAAAGTGGGTTCTTCAGACCCATTTTTTTGGACCCACCTGCTGGGATCCCCCTTTTGGGACCTCTTTTGGGACCCAGACATTTGCACTCCCTTATCAGCCCCCCTTTTTTTGGGACACCCCTTGTTTGGAACACCCCAAAAAAAATTGGCTTTTCAGACCCATTTTTTTGCACCCACAATTTAGAACCTCTTTGGGGAACCAGAAGTTTGCACTTCCCAATCAGCACCCCATTTTTTTGGGACACCCCACCCTCTTTCAGACCCCTCTTTTTCTGGAATCCCAGTTTAGGACACAGATCTTTGGACTCTCCACCTCTTGGGTTCCCCCTTTTTCAAACACCCCAAAAAAAGTGGGTTTTTCAGACCCTTTTTTATTTTTTTTTTTTAATTCACCTTCTGGGACCCCCCTTATGGGACCCAGATTTTTGCCCCCCCCATCAGCACCCCATTTTCTTGGGTTCCCCCCTTTTGGAACACCCCAAAAATAGTGGGTTTTTTTACCCCCCTTTTGGGACCTCTTTTAGGACCACAAGTTTGAGCTCCCCCATCAGCTCCCCTCTTTTTGAAACACCCCAAAAAAAGTGATTTTTTCAGACCCCCTTTTCTTCACCCACCCCACCCTCTTTTCCCATTTGGGACCCCCGCTGTGGGGACCCCTCTTTCACCCCCCGATTTTTGGGGACCCCCCGGGGCACTGACCTGTTTTGAAGGTGCTGTAGAGGAGGAAGAACCGGGGGAAGCTCCGCTCCAGGTACCGTTCGTACCGGGCGTTCGCCCGCCGGGCGGCGGCGGCCACGGCGGCCACGAGGGCGCGGGAGGAGACGGAGCGCACCGGAGAGCGGCAGAGCTGGGAGAACACCGGGGAACGCACCGGGGAGCTGCGCCCCCAGCCCCGCCTCAGCTCCGGTCGCGTTTGAGGCTCCCGGTGCCCGCGGAGAGGGGAACTGGGGGAACTGGGGGAACTGGGAACCCCCCGGGGCTGGGCTGGGAATGGGGGTCCGGATGGGTGCAGGATTCCGGTGCCAGGCTCGGGCAGGAGAGGGGGGTTGGGGAGGGCGGTAACGGGTGGCACCGGGCGAGGAACGGCAGCGCGGTAACGGAGACGCGCTGCGGTAACGGGGGCGCACCGAGGGCTGCGGAACAGCGTGGGAGGACACGGCCAGGACCGGGAAGAGCCGGAGAGGACGAGGGGGATATAGGGAAGGGGTATTTAGCGAGAAATCGCGATTGTGGTCGGTGTTTGGGAGGGGTGCGGTCGGTATTTAGCGGTCGGTGTGTGGGTCTCCCTCAGGGGAGCGTGTCCCCACCGGTGCCACGGGGTATGGCTGCCCCACGGGGGTCTCCCGCTCACCTGGACAGGCCCAGAGCGAGCTGCGGCTGCACGTGGCCCCGAGGGGGGCCCAGGGCGGCGGCGCCGAGGCGCCAAAGGCCGCCCCGGGCCGCGGCCCCGGGCAGCGCCATCTTGGTGGCACACCGGCGGCGATCACGTGCGCCTCCGAGCGCTGATTGGCTGCCGCGCCGGAAGTGTGCTCAGGCTGGGGGTTCCGGGCTCAGCCTTGAACCCCCGCATTTCCGTTCCCCCGGGCGGGACCGGGTCCTCCCCGGTCCAACCGGGACCGGCTCAGTCCCGGTTCTGTCCCGGCGGCCGCTGGGTGGGTGAGCCGGGACCCTCCTGCCGTTTCCCCGCGGTTTGAAACTTGCCCAGTGCTTTCCAGGAGCTGCCGCTGTCCCGGGGCGTGCGGGAGTCCAAAGAGGGGTCGGTACCCCCGGGCTCGTTTCTCCCGGTTTTCTCCCGGTTTTCTCCCGGTTTTCTCCTGGTTCTCCCGTGTCTGTGGCTCCTTCCCTCCCTCGCAGCCAAGCCCCATGTGGGTGATGTTCGTTTTCCTCCTTCCAGGCACCGGGACACACCAAACACTGCCCGGGGATTTCAGGGCAGGTTCCATTTTGGAGCACCCCAAAAGCAGAGGGGGTTTCAAACCCCCTTTTCCTGACCCCCCATTTGAGACCCAGATTTTTGCACTTTTTACACTAATTCCCGCAGGAATAATTCCCGCAGAAATCCCCGCAGCCCCCCGGGTGCCACCCCTGGGTGCCACCCTTGGGTGCCACCCTTGGGTGCCAGGCCTGGGCACCCTCAGGGCCGCTGTCGCTGTGGTGTCCCCGTTGTAATAAATAAAAAGGTCATTGTTCATCAAAACGAGCGTTTTGATAAGAATTTGAAGTGAGTAGGGAATAAGAGATAAGAATTTGAACCGAGGGGTGTAACTAATTTTATACTAATTAACTTCTAGGCCAAGGACAATCTGCAAGGAAGATGAGGAGCCTTCATCCCTATGGCCACTGTGAAAAACACAGATTTTATTATTGGCTTTTCGCAAATGTTACAATGAATATTATATGTGTAATGTTAGAAAGTGATGCTGTGTTAATTCTCTTAAGTGGTGTGTTAAATATAGTTTTAGGTTTGTGAAAAACGCCAATTATTTGGTTTAAAAATTTTAAAAACCAACTGATTGGCGTTTTTCACAATGTAAAAAATGCAGATTTTATGATTGGCTTTTTGCAAATGTTACAATGAATATTATGTGTGTAATGTTAGAAAGTGATGCTGTGTTAATTCTCTTAAGTGCTGTGTTAAATATAGTTTTAGGTTTGTGAAAAACGCCAATTACTTGGTTTAAAAATTTTAAAAACCAACTGATTGGCGTTTTTCACGACCACCAAAGACAGAAAAAATAAAGACCCCCAACAACCAATTGCACTGGCAAAGTACATGGAAAGAAAACACGTCAACCAGGAAGAAAAAAAAAGATTATAAAAACAAAAAGGTCAAAGGAGGAAGGCGCGGCCGTGGCAGAGCAGAGACTCCCCGGCTGCCAAGCGCTGTTCTTTTGCTTAATAAATTCTTGTTAATTGATTTATCTATAATTAGCCTCGCTGTTACGTGTAGTAGATATAATTAGTGCCGTTTCTAATATGATAAATGTGATATTGAATATCCCACCTTCTCAGGTGAAACCTGGTGTGTGTTAAAAACTGATTTACAGGTAAAAGGACGTGGCTTATCCATGGATATCATGGACTTGAGATGGATCTCATGGATTTGAGATGGATATCATGGACCTGAGATGGATCTCATGGACCTGAGATGGATATCATGGACCTGAGATGGATATCATGGACCCAAGATGGATATCATGGACCTGGGATGGATATCATGGACCTGAGATGGATATCATGGACCCAAGATGGATATCATGGACTTGAGATGGATATCATGGACCTGGGATGGATATCATGGACTTGAGATGGATATCATGGACTTGAGATGGATATCATGGACCTGAGATGGATATCATGGACCTCAGATGGATATCATGGACCTGGGATGGATATCATGGACCTGGGATGGATATCATGGACCTGGGATGGATATCATGGACTTGAGACGGATATCATGGACCCAAGATGGATATCATGGACCTGAGATGGATATCATGGACCTGAGATGGATATCACGGACCTGAGATGGATATAATGGATCCAAGATGGATATCATGGATCTGAGATGGATATCATGGATCTGAGATGGATATCATGGATCTGAGATGGATCTCATGGACTTGAGATGGATATCATGGACCTGAGATGGATATCATGGACCCAAAATGGATATCATGGATTTGAGATGGATATCATGGACTTGAGATGGATATCATGGATGTGGGATGGATATCATGGACCTGAGATGGATATCATGGATCTGGGATGGAGATCATGGAAATCCTCAAGCAGATCCATGTCAATGCAGGTTCCCTAAATTTCATCATGAGATTCAGCTCTGGACTCTGAATTGTTCTTCTTCATCACCAAAACCAGAAAATCTTACTAACCTCTGGACTCTGAGTAGAAGAAAAGACTGATGGCTGAAATCTTGGCCTCAGGCGGAATTTTCCCTATAAAATCCGAATTTTCCCTATAAAACCCGAATTTTCCCTATAAAAACCCGCTTGTGCCAGGATGGAGCTGTGTGGGCATGGAGGAAAACCTCTGCTGAGGCTGAATTCAGAGCCGGGCTCTGCTCTGTTCTTTCCTTGTGTCTGGCTAGGTAGAATTGGATTGCAAAATAAATATTTTATTTTTTCATTTTAAATTCTTCTGGACAAATTTTCATTCATAACACTTGTGGCTGGCTAGATAAAATTTGATTGCAAAACAAATATTTTATTTTTTCATTTTAAATTCTTCTGGACAAATTTTCATTTATAACAATACCGCCTGCTTAATAAATTCTTGTTAATTGATTTGTCTATAATTAGCTGCCCCAAATTGAATTAATCCACGAGCCCCATACGTGGCAGGGCTCACGCCCCACCTGTGCCAGGTGCTCTCACTGACCCCGATAAGGTCGGGGCGATGCCCGGGACGGTTCCTGCCGCACGTCCCGGGGCTGCCCGAGCAGAGTCCGGCCGGCTCCATGGGCTCATCAAAGCGCCTTAATGAGCGGTTAATTAATTAACGCTGCCGGGGAACTCTGCTCTGGGTGGGGGGAGGGAGGGGACACCCCTTAAATAGGGAGGGGGCAACCTTGGGGTGCAGAGGATGCTGCAGGAGCCATGCCCACCCCTGCCAGCGCCGCCTGTGAGCTCGGTGAGTGCCCCGGTGATGCTGCTGAGGTGGGATGGGAAGGAAAAATTTCTACTCAGAATGTGAGAGTAAAATTGTGATTTATTATAAAATCCATCCCTCTTTTATACAGATCTTTGTCTAGACCAATTCTGTTAGGAAGTGAAAACACTGCAAGCCATCGGTGTGCATTGGTAGAACTTATTTATAAATAATCTGAATAATAACAGAGATAAAAGAATTATTTACATTATTTCCTAACAGATTCTCAGGCTTCTGCCTGCTTAGAAACTCTTAATTTTTATTATTGCTTTCTGGCAATATCTACACCCTGGGAGTTTTCGTTGCCCCCAGCCCCAAACCATTTTTGGGCACTTTGGGTGGTTTCCCAGATTTCATACCCGGGTGCAGGTGGGCAGCGAGGCTTCCACCAGGGTTGTTCCTAATTTTAGGAATTTTTTGGGGGTTATTCCTGTGCTGTCAGGGATGGATGTGGTGGAGTTTCCCAACTCCTGGATTTCTCGTTTTTCCAGGATTTGGCCATTTAGCAGCACCTTTGGCAATGCCAGGCTGCTCCTGCCCAGTGCTGCTGTCATTCCCAGTTGAATCCCAGTTAAATCCCAGTTAAATCCCAGTTAAATCCTCAGGTCTGACCCTCAGGAAGTGGCAGTTGAGCCAATTATCCCCAGGGAATACAGGAGGAGGAACTCAGTGAGGGAGCAGCATTTCCAAAATCTAAATAAGCACTGCAGGAAGCTCGGGGAGGAATTGGGGGTTTTGGCACCCCAAAAAACGGTGCCAGGGCAGGGGAGGGCCCAGCACAGCCCCAGGGTGCCCAGTGGGTCCAGTTTGGGGTGGAAGGAGGCACTGGGAAAAGCTGGAAGTGGGAACGGGGGGGATCAGAGAGTCAGGAATGCCCTGAGCTGGAAGGGACCCACCAGGGGCTTGGGGAGGACATAGGAGTGGGAATTTGGGAGGATTTAGGAGAATTTGGGGGGATTTGGGAGGATTTGGGGGATCCTGAGGAACCAGAGCCAGGGTTTTGGGGTCTCACCTGGAAATCCATGTCCTGGTTCTGGGGGTTGTGGAGGAAGAAGCGGAAAGCCCTGCACAGGCATCCCAAAATCCCACTCTGAGCATCCCAAAATCCCACTCTGGGCATCCCAAAATCCCACCCTGGGCATCCCAAAATCCCACCCTGGGCATCCCTGGCACCCTCTGGGGGAAGAACCTTTCCCTGGTGCCCACCCCAAACCTCTCCTGACACAGCCCCAGATGTCCCCTGGGGGTGTCCCCACCCACCACGGGGGTCTGGGGACCCTCCTGGGGCTCCAACCCCCCTGCAGGGCTCAGGGTCTGCACTGGGAGCCCGAACTGGGACCCCAAACTGGGATTTGGCACCCCAAACTGGGACTTGGCACCCCAAACTGGGACCTGGGACTCCAAACTGGGATTTGGCACCCCAAACTGGGACCTGGGACTGGAACTGGGACTGGGACCCCAAAGTGAGACCTGGGACCCGAAACTGAGACCTGAGACCCCAAACTGGGACTGGGACCCCAAACTGGGACCTGGGGCCCCAAACTGAGACCTGGGACCCCAAACTGGGACCTGGGACCCCAAACTGGGACCGAGACCCCAAACTCGGATCGAGACCCCAAACTGAGTCCTGGGACCCCAAACTGGGACTGGGACCCGAAACTGGGACCGGGACCCCAAAGTGAGACCTGGGACCCGAAACTGGGACCGGGACCCCAAACTGGGACCAGGACCCCAAACTGGGACCTGACCCCTGGCTGCCATCCTGGGGCTCACCCCCCTCCCCCCAGCCCAGGGGCTCAGCGCCCACCCCAGCACCCGCATTTGGGCCCCGGTGCCGCCCCGGTGTCCCGGAGCCCCTCCCCGGTGTCCCGGTGCCCCTCCCCGGTATCCCGGTGCCGCCCCCGGTGTCCCGGAGCCCCTCCCCGGTGTCCCGGTGCCCCTCCCCGGTGTCCCGGAGCCCCGCCCCGGTATCCCGGAGCCCCTCCCCGGTGTCCCGGAGCCCCTCCCCGGTGTCCCGGTACCGCCCCCGGTCCCGCCCCGTGACGCGGATCCGCGTGCCGAGCGCGGCCCGGGCCGGGCATGCGGCGGCGGCGGGACCGGGACCGGGACCGGGGCCGGTGAGCGATGCGGGGACCCTCGGCGGGCGGTACCGGGGGGTTTGCGGGGGTTCCAGCCCCGCCGGTACCGGGGGGTTTACCGGTACCGGGGGGTTTACCGGTACCGGGGGGTTTGCGGGGGTTCCAGCCCCGCCGGTACCGGGGGGTCCCCTGGATGTGCTGCGGGACCCCCGGGTGTGGGTCAGGAGGGGGTCACGGAGCCGCTGCCCATCGCCCCCCGGGCACTGCCCGCACCCCCCCACGGGGTTCGGGGTCCCCCGGTGACCTTGGGGTGTCCCGGGGGTCCCGGCGGCACCGGGTCTGACCCCAAATCTGGGAGTTGAACCCTAAATCTGGGAGCTGGACCCTAAATCTGGGGGTTGGACCCCAAATCTGGGGGTTGGATCCCAAATCTGGGGGTTGGATCCCAAATCTGGGGGCTGGACCCTAAATCCGGGAGCTGGGTCCCAAATCTGGGGACTGGACCCCAAATCTGGGGGTTGAACCCCAAATCTGGGGGCTGGACCCTAACCCAGGAGCTGGACCCTAAATCCGGGAGCTGGACCCTAAATCTGGGGGTTGGATCCCAAATCTGGGAGCTGGACCCTAAATCTGGTGTCCCAGTGAGGATCTCCCAGTGTCCCCGTGAGGATCTCCCAGTGCCACCAGTGAGGAGCTCCCAGTGCCACCAGTGAGGATCTCCCAGTGTCCCAGTGAGCAGCTCCCAGTGTCCCAGTGAGGATCTCCCAGTGCCACCAGTGAGCAGCTCCCAGTGCCACCAGTGAGGATCTCCCAGTGCCACCAGTGAGGAGCTCCCAGTGCCACCAGCGAGGAGCTCCCAGTGCCACCAGTGAGGAGCTCCCAGTGCCACCAGTGAGGATCTCCCAGTGTCCCAGTGAGGATCTCCCAGTGTCCCAGTGAGGATCTCCCAGTGCCACCAGTGAGGCTCTCCCAGTGTCCCAGTGAGGATCTCCCAGTGCCACCAGTGAGGAGCTCCCAGTGCCACCAGTGTGGAGTTCCCAGTGTCCCAGTGAGGATCTCCCAGTGCCACCCCTGCAGGCTGTCTGTCTGCGCAGCAAAGCCCGATGCCAGCCCCAAACCCACCCCGAAGTGCTCCAGCAGGATCCCGTCTGCCCCACAGGAACCAGCCCAGCCCCGAGCCCACATCAAAGCCCGAGCTCAAAGGCAGGAACTGCTCCCAGCAGAGGAGCAGGATGAGCCCGGGGCTCGGGAAGGACTCGGGGTGGGGGCAGAACAAGAACCCCATTGTTTGGTGCTGGCGGGGACAGCAGCAGCCCTGTCTGGAGCTCTGCCCCAGGAACAAGGAGCTGCTGTTGGTGCCACCTCAGCCATGGGGACACGGTGGGGCTGAGCTGCTGAGCCCTCACCTGGTGCCAGGGTGTGTGAATCTGTGGTGTTGGTGATTCTGAGATTGTAAAAGTCTCTGTCTTTCTGCCCCGCTGCCAAAGCAGAAGCCATAATTCGTCTGTGCTGTTTCAAGGTTGTTTATTCTGTTTATCTCTAACATGTTCTGCTGCCCTGCCGCAGCTCTGTCCTGCAGGGCAGCGTGTGGGGCTCTGCCCTCAGTGGGATGGTACAAACATTAAATACCACAAACTACCTGTGCTGGATTTACAATAGGATTTACAATAATATGCCAATATAACATCCCTCAGTGGGATGTTACAAACATTATACACCAAAAACTATGTGTGCTATATTTACAATATATTTTATATATATATATATATATATATATTTAAATATATATATTTAAATATATTTAAATATATTTAATCTATTACAATAATGTGCCAATATCCATCACCTACGCTGAACAGTGTGTCCCCAGTCTATACCCAGTCCCCATTTTATGGTATATAATGTTACAACATTATATACCAGAAACTACCTGTGCTATATTTACAATATATTTTTTATAGATATATATTTAAATATATTTAAATATATTTAATCTATTACAATAACATGCCAATATCTGTCACCTACGCTGAACAGGGTGTCCCCAGTCTAAACCCAGTCCCCATTTTATGGTATATAATGTTACAAACAATATATATAACAAACTACGTGTGCTATATTTACAATAACGTGCCAATGTAACATTATATACCAGAAACTATCTGTGCTATATTCACAATAATGTGCCAATGTAACACCCCTCAGTGGGGTGTTACAAACATTAAATACCACAAACTACCTGTGCTGGATTTACAATAACGTGCCAATATCTGTCACCTACGTTGGACAGTGTGTCCCCAGCCTAAACCAACAGAAAAATGCCAACACCACAGTGAAACATGGAGGGCATGAAGAAGGAGAAAAAGGACAAGACACACCCAATTTCCTCCATCTTGTCCCCTTTGAACCCCTTATCTAGAATCCTAAAATTTTACTTTTGCACCCGTGCCACACTTAATTATTACTGATATCAAACACTCAGAGCTGGTAATTGATCCTGTAAGGTTGAAAACTCTTTTCCATGGGCAGAGATCACAGCCAGTGTCTCTGGGGGCTCTGTCCAGGGGGGTTCCTGACCCCAGCCAGGTCAGGCTCTGCTCCCAGGGGATAGAAGCAGACAAAAACTCTTCCAGGGGAGGTTTAGGTTGGATTTTAGGGAGAATTCCCTCATGGAAAAGGCTGCCCGTGTGAGTCTCCTCTGGGTGGGTGAATTCCAGACATCCCCTGAGGTGGGTGTGGGTCCAGCCCCCAGCCCAGCAGCTGCTGGGGCAGATAAGGGGTCCTGTCCTGCCCCACCCAGGCTGGGGGGCAGATACTGAGGTGGGTCCACAACGAACATTCTCCCCAAATCACCCAAATCCTCTTCCCCAAAATCGCCCTCCTAGCTTCATCCTGGAGTGAGGCTCTGGTGGGACTCTGCTGGGGTAAGACCATTCCTCCTGGGTCACCTTCTGGAGAAAAATTGGCTTTTTGCTAAACTTTACTGGGATTTTTTTGGGGTTTTTTTTTGGGTTTTTGTTTGTTTGTTTGTTTTGGTTTTTTTGGGGGTTTTTTTTGGGGGGTTTTGTTTTGGTTTGGTTTGGTTTTTGTGTTTTTTGTGGGTTTTTTTTTGGTTTTGGTTTTGTTTTTTGGTTTGGTTTTTTTTTTGTTGTTGTTTGTTTGTTTGTTTTTTTTGGGTTTTTTTATGGAAGCTGTGAGGTTTGGTGCTTAGAAAAGAAGGAAAAATATGTGTGAGGGGAACGAGCTGGAGTTTCACTTCAGCTGAGTCCCTGGCTGATGATTTCCTTGTGCATCCCCACTGAGCCACTGTTCCCTTGTTCTGAGGAAATCTCCCTTTCAAATCTGGTAGTTTGAGGAGGATTAGGTGCTTTGTTGGACCAGGATTTGGTGCTTTGTTGGACTAGGATTAAGTGTTTTGTTGGACTAGGATTAGGTTTTGTTGTTGTGCCCTGCAGGGTTGAGTTCCTGGCTGCCTCCTTGTCCCTCCCAGCCCCATTCCAGGTCCTGCCTGGCTTGAATTCAATCAGGATGGAGGAGTTAAACCTGCCCTTCACCCCCTGCCTGGGGGCTGGGAGGGGCTGGGGGGGTCTGAGGAGGATTTTGGGGTGCTGGGAGGGGGGTGAGATGCTGTTTTTTCCACATCAGGGGAATTCCCCGCTGGTTTCCTGGTTGAGTTTCACAATCAGATCCGGCTGCCCTTGGGCTGTGCTGCCACTTGTGCCCATCAGGCCTCCCCTGGGCAGGGCTGGGGGGATTTTTTTAGCAAATCCCAGCCTAAATTTCCTCTCTGATCCCTGCTGGAAGTGGGTCCATCCATCCCTGGGAGGGTTCTCAGAGCTGCCAAAGCCTGGGAAGCGAATCTGTCTCTGCCCACCCCTCCTGCCAGCTCCGATTTTCCATCCTGTTAGTCATTTATTAATAAGGTACAAAATGGTTAACTGTCTTCTGATAAAGGTCTTTTAAGGTTAAACTATTTAACTAAGAAATTATACTTAAACCATTTTCTTTTTTAACTGAATAATATCTTGGAGTCTGCACTGCGAACTTTTTTGTTTAATTACAAAATACTGCTTAAACTTATGAAGATTAACAATTTGTTTCTGCCTTACAACTTTTATCTTGCTTCGTATTTATTACTACATTTTAAAACTCTTAAGTTTTCTATTTTGTGATATTACACACTTTTAACTAACTGCACATTTGTAATTAATTCAGCCTCAAATTGAGCTGTTTTTTGTGAGTTTTTCTGTGCCTTTCAGCCCAGAAAATTCGACATCCTGACAGGATTTTTCCCTTTTTCCCAGCCAATGTGTCCAGAGTGAAGCAGCTCCCAGAGCAGGGCAAGGCCTCCAGCATGGGCACAGAGCGGAGAGCGTCCTACGGTGAGCCTGGCACAGGAAAGGGGCACGGGGGGCTGCCCTTGGCACCCCAATTCCCTTCAGCCGTGCCCTGCTGGGGTGCTGGGCGAGCCCTGGCAGCACCCCGGGGTGCTGAGCCCGGCTGAACCAGCCCAACCAGCCCGGCCCGGCGGGAATGTCCTGGGAGGAATGGCTGAGTGAGTGGGGAGGGCTGTGCTGCCTGGGCACACCTGGGGCTGCTCACCTGGGCACACCTGGGCAGCTCCCTGGGCACACCTAGGGCTGCACACCTGGGCACACCTGGGCAGCTCCCTGGGCACACCTAGGGCTGCACACCTGGGCACACCTGGGGCTGCTCACCTGGGCAGCTCCCTGGGCACACCTGGGGCTGCACACCTGGGCACAACTGGGGCTGCTCACCTGGGCAGCTCCCTGGGCACACATGGGGCTGCACACCTGGGCAGTTCCCTCTGCACACTCGTGCAGCTCCCTCTGCACACCTGGGGCTGCACACCTGGGCACACCTGGGGCTGCTCACCTGGGCAGCTCCCTGGGCACACCTGGAGCTGCACACCTGAGCAGTTCCCTCTGCACACCTGGGCAGTCCCTGTGCTCACCTGGGCAGTCCCTGTGCTCACCTGGGCAATTCCTTCTGCACACCCGGGCAGCTCCTTCTGCACACCTGGGCAGTTCCCTCTGCACACTTGTGCAGCTCCCTGGGCACACCTGGGGCTGCACACCTGGGCAGTTCCCTCTGCATACCTGGGCAGCTCCCTGGGCACACCTGGGGCTGCACACATGGGGCAGCTCCTCTGCACACCTGGGCAGCTCCCTGTGCTCACCTGGGGCAGCACACCTGGGCAGCTCTGTCTGCACACTCCCTCTGCTCACCTGGGCAGCTCCCTGGGCACACCTGGGCAGCTCCCCCTGCACACCTGGGCAGTTCCCTCTTCACATCTGGGCAGCAGCTCCCTGTGCACACCTGGGCAGCTCCCCCTGCACACCTGGGCAGTTCCCTCTGCACACTTGTGCAGCTCCGTGGGCACACCTGGGGCAGCTCCCTGTGCTCACCTGGGCAGCTCCCTGTGCTCACCTGGGCAGCTCCCTGTGCACACCCGGGCAGTTCCCTCTGCTCACCTGGGCAGCTCCCTCTGCTCACCTGGGGCAGTTCCCTGTGCTCACCTGGGCAGTTCCCTGTGCTCACCTGGGGCAGGTCCCTCTGCTCACCTGGGCAGCTCCCTGTGCTCACCTGGGCAGTCCCTGTGCTCACCTGGGCAGTTCCCTGTGCTCACCTGGGGCAGCTCCCTGTGCTCACCTGGGGCAGCTCCCTGTGCTCACCTGGGCAGTTCCCTGTGCTCACCTGGGGCAGCTCCCTGTGCTCACCTGGGGCAGCTCCCTGTGCTCACCTGGGCAGCTCCCTGTGCTCACCTGGGCAGCTCCCTGGGCACACCTGGGCAATTCCTTCTGCACACCTGGGCAGCAGCTCCCCCTGCACACCTGGGCAGCTCCCTGTGCACACCTGGGGCTGCTCACCTGGGGCAGCTCCCTGTGCACACCTGGGGCTGCACACCCGTGCAGTTCCCTGTGCTCACCTGGGGCAGCTCCCTGTGTTCACCTGGGGCAGTTCCCTGTGCTCACCTGGGCAGTTCCCTGTGCTCACCTGGGGCAGATCCCTCTGCACACCTGGGGCTGCTCACCTGGGCAGTTCCCTCTGCACACTTGTGCAGCTCCCTGTGCTCACCTGGGCAGTTCCCTCTGCTCACTCCCTTTTCACACCCGGGCAGCTCCCTGTGCTCACCTGGGGCAGCTCCCTGTGCTCACCTGGGGCAGTTCCCTGTGCTCACCTGGGCAGCTCCCTGTGCTCACCTGGGGCAGCTCCCTGTGCTCACCTGGGGCAGCTCCCTGTGCTCACCTGGGGCAGTTCCCTGTGCTCACCTGGGCAGCTCCCTGTGCTCACCTGGGCAGTTCCTGTGCTCACCTGGGCAGCTCCCTGTGCTCACCTGGCAGTCCCTTTGTCCCTTGTGCAAACCCGGCCCTGGCAGGGCTCTGGAGGCCGGGAAAAGGAGGAGCTCGGCGGTGATGCAACAGGAGACACGTTGGGCAGAGGCTGCCCCGAGCCAGCCCAGAGCAGAGCAGCTCCCGAGGGAGGGAATGTCCCGTGGGGAGAGCAGGAGTGAGTGTGGGGTTTTGTGGGGCTGGGAATGAGTGTGGGATTTTGTGGGGCTGGGCGAGTGGGATCAATGTAGGATTGGGAGAGAGTGTGGGGCTGTGTGGGGCTGGGAGAGAGTGTGGGATCAACTATGGGGCTGGGAGAAAGAGTGTGATTTTATGGGGCTGAGAGAGAATGGGATTTTGTGGGATTGGGAATAAGTAGGGCTTGTGTGGGACTGGGAGAGCGGGATCAAGTGTAGGATTGGGAGAGAGTGTGGGGCTGGGAGAGAGTGTGGGGCTGTGTGGGATCAAGTATGGGGCTGGGAGAAAGTGGGATTTTGTGGGACTGGGAGAGAGAATTGGATTTTATGGGATTGGGAATGAGTATGGGATTGTGTGGGATTGTGTGGGATTGGGAGTGAGTGTGGGGTTGTATGGGACTGGGAGAAATTGGGATTTTATGGGGCTGGGAGAGAGAATGGGATTGTGTGGGATTGGGAATGAGTGTGGGATTGTGTGGGATTGTATGGGATTGGGAGTGAGTGTGGAGTTCTGTGGGACTGGGAGAGAGTGTGGGGTTGTGTGGGATTGGGAGTGAATGTGGGGTTGTGTGGGAGAGAGAATGGGATTGTGTGGGGTTGGGAGTGAATGTGGGGTTGTATGGGACTGGGAGAGAGTGTGGGATCAAGTATGGGGCTGGGAGAAAGTGGGATTTTGTGGGACTGGTGGAGAGAATGGGATTGTGTGGGATTGGGAATGAGTGTGGGGCTGTGTGGGATTGGGAATGAGTGTGGGATTGTGTGGGGTTGTGTGGGGTTGTGAGGGACTGGGAGCCAGCATGGGATTGAGATTTTTCTGGCTGTGGTGGGGGGAGAGGGTGGGAGTGTGGGAGTGTGGGGTGACCCCCAGCTCCTCACGTTTGGACCCTCCTGGAATTCTGTCTGTCCCTGCTGGGAGCCGTGTGGCATCTCCTGGCTGTCCCTTGCTCCCAGGTGTTGGATTTCCCTGGGATCCAGCCTGGGATAAAGGCACAGGAGCAGTCCCAGATCTTTGGGATCCGCCTCACCCAGCCCCAGCTCATCATTCTGGGGATGCTGCCCCACATCAGCCCCCAGGATGGGGTTTTTAAAAATTAATTGGAACAAATAAATCCCAGCCTGGAGTGAGGAGATTCTGGGGAGGCAGTGGGCTCCAAGGGGTGCAGCAACACGGGGTATTTTAATTTAATTACCTCTTTATCACTTAATTAGCATCAGCTCTGCTGGCTTGTTCTGCCTGTGGGGCTCAGCAGCCCCTGAGTGCTCACTGCTGCTCACTGTGTCCCCACAGAGGACGTCTCTGGGGAGCCCGGGGGGCTCGGGGGGGTGGTCAGCACCATCTCCAGCAGCAGGAGCCCCCTGCAGCCCCCCGATGCTGATGATGGGGAGCCCTTCACCACCTACTTCGACAGCAAAATCCCCATCCCCGAGGATGAGACGGTGAGTGGGAAAACCCTGCTGGAAAATCCTGCCTCAGACACCCACCTGAGTCATTCCCACGGGCACCAGTTCCCCTTCCAGGACCTGGGAATGGGGGCTGGGAGAGGGGGAGGGGGTCTCCCGTGCTTTGGGGGATGTGGGGTGTGTGTTAATGATTGACCCCACGGGATTTGGCTCCTGCTTGGAGCAGCCAAAGAGCGAGGAAAGGCCTTGTCACAGCTCAGGGAGGGATCTGGGCTCTTTGTCCCCTTATCAGGGAGCAGGAGATGTGGCTGGCCTCATGACACTGTCCCCCCTAGCGCTGTCCCTCTGTCCCCTGGCTGAATCCCCCCTTCCAGCTGCCAGCAGGGGAGGGTCCTGCTTCCCCCAGGGGTCCCACAAGCCCGACCTTGGCTGCCCCACAGCCTGGGCCTAAACCCCTGAGACTGTGTCCAACCATCGTGGCTTTGGGGTGGGCTCGAGGACCAGGCAGGATTTTGGGATGAGATTTGGGGATAACTCGGTTTTGCAGCCCCACAGAATTTGGGATGGGGTTAAAGAGCAGGCTGAGCCCCTGCCTGAGGTGTCAGTGATGGAATTAATGAATTAATTAATGAATTTCTCTGCAGCATTCCTGCTTCAGCTTCCGCAAGCTGTGGGCGTTCACGGGGCCGGGGTTCCTGATGAGCATCGCCTACCTGGACCCCGGCAACATCGAGTCCGACCTGCAGTCCGGGGCTGTGGCGGGCTTCAAGGTGGGATCAGGGTCCCAGGGGTCACCCCCAAATCCCACGGGGGGCTGGGGGTGCTGGGAGCACCCCAGAGAGGAGGGGGAGCAGCAGGGTTTGGTGTCCTGCCTTTGGGTCTCCCTTTGGATCCACCCCGCGCCAGCTCTGGGGTCAGGGCCTCAAAAACCCCAATCCTGTGGGTTTGGAACAGCCCAGTGCTGTGGGTTTGGGGGGATTTGGGGCCCCCCAGCCCACTGGTGTCCCCGTGTCCCCCAGCTGCTGTGGGTGCTGCTGCTGGCCACCGTCATCGGGCTGCTGCTGCAGCGGCTGGCGGCGCGGCTGGGCGTGGTCACCGGGCTGCACCTGGCTGAGGTGTGCCACCGCCAGTACCAGAAGGTGGGTGCTGGGGGGGGACACCCCCCCGGGGTGCTCAGGGGGGTGGGGTGGGTGGGGGACACTCCCATGGGTGCTCAGGGTGGGTGGGTGACACTCCCCCAGGTCCTCAGGGTGGGTGGGTGACACTCCCCCAGGTCGTCAGGGGGGCTGGGGTGGGTGGGGGACACTCCCCTGGATGCTCAGGGTGGGTAGGGGACACTCCCCTGGGTGCTCAAGGGGGTCTGGGGTGGGTGGGTGACACTGCCCCAGGTGCAAAGGGGGTCTGGGGTGGGTGGGGGACACTCCCCTGGGTGCTCAGGGGGGTGGGGTGGGTGGGGGACACTCCCATGGCTCCTCAGGGTGGGTGGGTGACACTGCCCCGGGTGCTCAGGGGTTCCAAGGGGGTCTGGGGTGGGTGGGGGACACTGCCCTGGGTGCTCAAGGGGGTCTGGGGTGGGTGGGGGACACTTCCCTGGGTGCTCAGGGTGGGTAGGAGACACTCCCCTGGGTGTTCAGGGGGACTGGGGTGGGTGGGTGACACTCCCCCAGATTTTTAGGGTGGGTGGGTGACACTCCCCTGGGTGCTCAGGGTGGGTGGGTGACACTGCCCCAGGTGCTCAGGGGTTCCAAGGGGGTCTGGGGTGGGTGGGTGACACTGCCCCAGGTGCTCAGGGGTTCCAAGGGGGTCTGGGGTGGGTGGGTGACACTCCCCCGGGTGCTCAGGGTGGGTGGGTGACACTGCCCTAGGTGCTCAGGGGTTCCAAGGGGGTCTGGGGTGGGTGGGTGACACTTCCCTGGGTGCTCAGTGGGGCTGGGGTGGGTGGGGGATGCTCCCCTGGGTGCTCAGGGTGGGTAAGGGACACTCCCCTGGGTGCTCAGGGTGGGTGGGTGACGCTGTCCCGGGTCCTCAGGGTGGGTGGGTGACACTCCCCTGGGTGCTCAGGGTGGGTGGGGGACACTCCCCTGGGTGCTCAGGGGGGCTGGGGTGGGTGGGTGACACTTCCCTGGGTCCTCAGGGTGGGTGGGTGACACTGCCCCAGGTGCTCAGGGGTTCCAAGGGGGTCTGGGGTGGGTGGGTGACACCCCCCCTGGGTGCTCAGTGGGGCTGGGGTGGGTGGGTGACACTCCCCCGGGTGCTCAGTGGGGCTGGGGTGGGTGGGTGACGCTCCCCTGGGTGCTCAGTGGGGCTGGGGTGGGTGGGGGACACTCCCCCGGGTGCTCAGTGGGGCTGGGGTGGGTGGGTGACACTCCCCCTGGTCCTGAGGGGTGCCACAGGGGTCTGGGGGGTGGCAGCAGAAGACAGGTGACCCCCCCATGGTGAGCCCCCAGTGTCCCTGGTGGTGCTGTGAGGACCCCTGAGGGCCTGGCTGCCCCTGGGGTGGGATTTGGGGTCTCCTGGTGCTCTCCTGGCTTGGGAAACACGAGGAGGGAGCAGGGGGATGTTGGATTTCCCAGTCAGGAGTGAAATCTGAGATACACAGCAGTGCTAAATAATCCCGAGGAATTACACGGAGAGAAACAATCCTCTAGATCAGAACCTGGTTTAGAGTCAGGTCATTTCCTGGTTGCTCCACACCCTGATTGGGAATTTCTTGGGTTTGCATAAGGAAGATCTGCTGATGATGAGTGAGGCTGGCCTGGACAGGGGCTGTGGGGACATCTGGGATGTCCCCTGTGCCCTGGGAAGGGCTGTGGGGACATTTGGGATGGAAGGGCTGTGGGGACATTTAGGATGGAAGGGCTGTGGGGTCATTTGGGATGTCCCATCTGCTCTGGACAGGGCTGTGGTGACATTTGGGATGTCCCACCCCTGTGGCTGTGGTGACATTTGGGCTGGAAGGGCTGTGGTGACATTGGGGATGTCCCACCCCTGTGGCTATGGTGACATTTGGGATGTCCCACCCCTGTGGCTGTGGTGACATTTGGGCTGGAAGGGCTGTGGGGACATTTGGGATGTCCCTCCCTGTGCCCTGGGAAAGGCTGTGGGGACATTTGGGATGTCCCATCCCTGTGCACTGGAAGGGCTGTGGGGACATTTGGGATGTCCCATCTGCTCTGGAGAGGGCTGTGGTGACATTTGGGATGTCCCTCCCTGTGGCTGTGGTGACATTTGGGATGGAAGGGCTGTGGTGACATTTGGGATGTCCCATCCCTGTGGCTGTGGGGACATTTGGGCTGGAAGGGCTGTGGTGACATTTGGGATGTCCCACCCCTGTGGCTGTGGTGACATTTGGGATGTCCCACCCCTGCACCCTTGGGTGTTCCCCACCCTGACACGGTGTCACCGCTCTGCCCTGGAATGTCTCCCCACGCTCACTCCCGGTTTCCCCACGCCTGCAGACGCCCCATTTCTCCCCACAGGCGGCTCCTGTATCCAGGGCAGGATCTGGGGTGGCACAGGTGACCCAGATCCTGCCCAGCATTGCCACAGGAGCTGGCATTTCCCCTGCAGAGCACAGCAGGGCAGGGTGATGGCCCCATTCCTGCACGCAGCATCACCACAGCCCCACGGGAGAAGAGGTTTTTCCCTATTTTTCCCTGTTTTTCATGGCACTGGGCGTTCCTTTCCCCTCAGGTCCCTCGGATCATCCTGTGGCTGATGGTGGAGCTGGCCATCATCGGCTCCGACATGCAGGAGGTCATCGGCTCTGCCATCGCCATCAACCTGCTCTCCGTGGGCAAGTGAGTGTGGGGAAACTGTGCCCAAAGTGCCTTTATTTCCTGTGAATTCCCCCAAATCAGCACCGTGAATTCCCCCAAATCAGCACCCAGGATGTGAGTCAGCCTGTCACCAGCTCTGCACCAGGGCTGCATTTCCATGGGGGACACCCACGGGGCTGGGCTTGTTTTTGTCTTTCTGTCTTTGATTTCATTTGTTTTACCTTTGATTCTATCTTTGATTTCATTTGTTTTACCTTTGATTTCATTTGGTTTACCTTTGATTCTATCTTTGATTTCATTTGTTTTACCTTTTGATTTCATTTGTTTTACCTTTCTCTGTATCTTTAATTTAATTTGGTTTACCTTTCTCTGTACCTTTGATTTCATTTGTTTTACCTTTGATTCTTTGATTTCATTTGTTTTGCCTTTGATTTCATTTGTTTTGCCTTTGATTTCATTTGTTTTACCTTTGATTTTTTTTGTTTTACCTTTCTCTGTACCTTTGATTTCATTTGTTTTACCTTTCTCTGTATCTTTGATTTCATTTGTTTTACCTTTGATTCTATCTTTGATTTCATTTGTTTTACCTTTGATTCTTTGATTTCATTTGTTTTGCCTTTGATTTAATTTGTTTTGCCTTTCTCTGTATCTTTGATTTCATTTGTTTTACCTTTCTCTGTATCTTTGATTTCATTTGTTTTACCTTTGATTTCTTTTGTTTTTCCTTTCTCTGTATCTTTGATTTCATTTGTTTTACCTTTGATTTCATTTGTTTTACATTTCTCTGTATCTTTGATTTCATTTGTTTTACCTTTCTCTGTATCTTTGATTTCATTTGTTTTACCTTTCTCTGTATCTTTGATTTCATTTGTTTTACCTTTGATTCTTTGATTTCATTTGTTTTACCTTTGATTTCATTTGTTTTACCTTTGATTTCATTTGTTTTACCTTTCTCTGTATCTTTGATTTCATTTGTTTTACCTTTTGATTTCATTTGTTTTACCTTTCTCTGTATCTTTGATTTCATTTGTTTTACCTTTGATTCTGTCTTTGATTTCATTTGTTTTCCCTTTGATTTCATTTGTTTTGCCTTTAATTTCATTTGTTTTGCCTTTCTTTGTACCTTTTTGTTACAAAATCGGGGTGCAGCTTCCTGCCAAACTCCACATCCCATACAGGGCTCCTGGGAAGGCAGGGAATGGGGTGTCCCATGGATTCAGGACAGTGCTGCAATATTTTAAATTTGGGGCATTATTTTAAATTTGGGGCAATATTTTAAATTTGGGGCAATGTTTTACGCTTGGTGCAATATTTCACAGCCTGATGAACAAGTGGCTCAGTAGTTTGGGCAGCATGTGTCTAATCTGGCTCTGAATATTTTGTTTTCTTTAAGCAGAGTGTTTCTCTGTCTCTTCATCACTGACCTCCATTCTCACATTCTTTCTTTTCCTTCTTCGGGCAAAACACTTCTGCACGTTTTTAATCCCAAAAACATCATTAATCCCAGGATTAATGTGTGGAAACTAAGCACAGCTTTGAGTGCTTTATTTTCCTGTGCTGAGGCACCCAGGGACACATCCCATAGGAATCCCTCTGCTCCTGGGAGAGGCTGTGGGACTGACTTCTGCTGGCCAAGGGTGGGGAGGTGACATCCTGTGGTCCCTTGTGCTGCTCAGGCCCTGAAGAACCCCCAGCCATACAGCTCCACCCCAAAAAAATCCCTAAACAAAAAGGATTTGGAGCTCTGGGTGGGCACTGACCCCGCTGTCCCCCACAGGATCCCTCTCTGGGGTGGAGTGCTCATCACCATCGCCGACACCTTCGTCTTCCTCTTCCTGGACAAATATGGTAATTTCTGTCGGGCTTTTGGGGGCAGAATTTGGGATTGAGCACTCCTGAGCTTGGTGACAACGGGACTTCTCCTCCCTGCAGGCCTGCGGAAGCTCGAGGCGTTTTTTGGGCTCCTCATCAGCATCATGGCCCTGACCTTTGGATATGAGGTACCACCTCCAGGAGACCCCCAGGGGCTGGAGTGGGGCTGGGGAAGGGTTTGGAGCACTGGGAGAGGCTGTGGGAGCTGGGAAAGGGGCTCAGCCTGGAGAAAAGGAGGCTCAGGGGGTGTCAGAACCCCCGGCCTGGTTCAGGAGTTACGTGTGGTGGAAAAATCTCTCCTCCAACCTTTGCTTCTGAAGAAAAACTCTTCAGCCTCTTATTGTTCGGTCTCAAGGCAGTTTATTGCAAGTTATCTAAAAGATTTTCTTCTGGGGCTGCTGTGGTTTGCTCACAGCTCAGGCAGAGGCACACACACACCCTGACATCCTCTCTGACTCCTGACTTTTCTGTACCCCTGCCCAGGGCTGCTGCTGTTTTTATATGGTACATTAAGTGTTAAATATTTACAGTTTTTCCCCAATGCCTATTACCTATATTAAATTGTGCTTTTCTACTCTAAACCAATCTATAAGTGCCAACATCACCAAGAACATGGAGGGAAAGAAGAAGAAAGAGGAGGAACAGGATCAGGCCCACTTTCCTCCATCTTAAAACTTCTGACCCCCATGTACAAAACCAAAACCTCCTTGTACAGGTGTTAAAACCCACTTGTACAACACAAAAAAATTCTTCCCTCTACTTTGTAGCTACTTCTACTACACTATCCAACCCTCTGTGACCGCTTGTTCCACCTTCAAAGTTGGTAACTCATTCCATGGCTCAAACCCAAAATCACAGCTGTTTCCAGCTGCTTGCCAGGGTCTAAAATGCTTCTGACCAAGGTCTGGGACCTCTGAAAATGTCTGAGGGACATTTTGAGCTCCAACAAGGGATCTTCTTGCTCTCCACAGCTCCCTGGCAGGAGGGGGAGCAGCCAGGTGGGGTTTGGGCTCTGCTCCCAGGTGACAGGATGAGAGGAAAATCCTCCTAGGGGAGGCTGGGGTTGGATCCTGGGGAGAATTCCTGCCTGGCACGGGCTGTCACACTGGTCCCCAGGAGTTTAAAAGCCACGTGGCTGTGGCACTTGGGGACATGGTCAGTGCTGAACCCACTGATCCCAGAGTTTTTCCATCCTTGAAAACCTTTTCCAGTCCTTCCCAGTGCCACGATTCAGTGCTGTGATCCCACTCCTGTGCCAAAACAGCACCAAGCACAGGGAGGGGTGCTTCAAATCAAGGAGTTTTGAGTCTGTGCCGTGATTTTTGTCCAGAGCACCCCAAAACTCTCTGTTTCCCTGTCCCTGTGCCCAGTACATCACGGTGAAGCCCAGCCAGGAGAAGCTGCTGCAGGGACTCTTCGTCCCCTACTGCCAGGACTGTGGCACACCGCAGCTGGAGCAGGCTGTGGGCATCGTGGGCGCCGTCATCATGCCCCACAACATGTACCTGCACTCTGCCCTGGTCAAGGTGAGCCCAGGGGGGCACCCTGGGGTGGGGAAATGCACCCAGAGGAGCCTGGGGACACGCAGCCCTGGTGGGTGTTTGGGTTTGAAAAGCCAGGTGTCTGCTGAGGAAGGCAAATGGAAAATGTAAATCCCTCCCTCCAGATTGTTATAATTTTTAAATGAAGGGGATGTCAGGCAGAGATATGGGAGCAAGAATAACAGTTCTTTAGTAGGGAGGAAAATAAAATAAAATTTTAAAAAGCAGCACTACAAAACAGCCCTGCCTGAGTCAGAAATGCCCTGAGCCCTGTGGGGCAGGGGGGTGGCAGCAGCCCCATCACAGGGGGGAGTTTTCCTCTGGAGCTCCAGGGCGGGGGGAGATGGGCCTGGGCTCCTCTGGGAATGAAGTGGGAAGAAATCTGGTTTTTTTTGGAATTTAGTGGGATAAGGCTGTCTCTGTTGCTCCAAATCTCGGATTATATCCAAGTAGGAATTCTCGGCTCCTCCCCTGGGCAGAGCATCTCCCCATGGATGATGGAATTTTCTCAGCCATGCAGGGACACTCAGTGGGCCATGAACAGAAGATAATTAATGATTAATGGTCCATAAGCAGTAATAATTAATAATTAATGGCCCATGAACGGAAGAGATCTCCTGGAGATGAGGGAGGATTAGTTGTGGAAGAGATAAAGAAAACTGTCGAATGAACAGAGGAAAACTGTCCAATGAACAGAAAAAAAAGTCAATTTAACAGAAGATAACTGCCCAATTAGCAGGAGAAAACTCCAATTAATGAAGAAAACTGCCCAATTAACAGCAGAAGGGAACTGCCCCAGCTCTAACAGATGGCAGCAGAGCACAGCCCCATTTCCAGCCTGAGGCGGGTGTGGGATCCTTGGCAGGCAGGAGCTGTGTCCCACCACCCGCTCTGATCCCAGGGCTCAACAGGGAATTTTTGTCACCCCTCCTGTCCCCTCCCTGTCCCCTCCCTGTCCCCTCCCTGTGCCACAGTCCCGGCAGGTGAACCGAGCGGACAAGAGGGAGGTGAGGGAGGCCAACAAGTATTTCTTCATCGAGTCGTGCATCGCGCTCTTCGTCTCCTTCATCATCAACATCTTCGTGGTGACCGTCTTCGCCGAGGCCTTCTTCAACAAAACCAACGCTCAAGTGGTGGGTGGGACTGGGAGGGACTGGGAGCACTGGGACTGGGAGCACTGGGTGAACTGGGAGCACTGGGAGGGACTGGGAGCACTGGGACTGGGAGCACTGGGTGGGACTGGGAGGGACTGGGAGCACTGGGAGGGACTGGGAGTACTGGGTGGGACTGGGTGGGACTGGGAGCACTGGGTGGGACTGGGAGCACTGGGAGGGACTGGGAGCACTGGGAGGGACTAGGAGGGACTGGGAGGGACTGGGAGCACTGGGAGGGACTGGGAGCACTGGGTGGGACTGGGAGCACTGGGAGGGACTGGGAGCACTGGGAGGGACTGGGAGCACTGGGAGGGACTGGGAGCACTGGGAGGGACTGGGAGGGACTGGGAGGGACTGGGAGCACTGGGAGGGACTGGGAGCACTGGGTGGGACTGGGAGGGACAGGGTGGGACTGGGAACACTGGGAGCACTGGGACTGGGAACACTGGGAGCACTGGGACTGGGAGCACTGGGTGGGACTGGGAGCACTGGGAGGGACTGGGAGGGACTGGGAGGGACTGGGAGCACTGGGAGGGACTGGGAGCACTGGGAGGGACTGGGAGCACTGGGACTGGGAGCACTGGGAGGCACTGGGTGGGACTGGGAGGGACTGGGAGCACTGGGCGGGACTGGGAGCACTGGGAGCACTGGGAGGGACTGGGAGGGACTGGGAGCACTGGGAGGGACTGGATGGGACTTGGGAGGGACCGGGTGGGACTGGGAGCACTGGGAGGGACTGGGAGCACTGGGAGGGACTGGGAGGGACTGGGAGCACCCCTCATCCCGCCCTCCCTGCCCCTGCAGCACCAGGTCTGTGCCAACGCCAGCAGCCCCCACGCCGGGCTCTTCCCTAACGACAACAGCACGCTGGAGGTGGACATCTACAAGGGGGTGAGTGTCCCTGGGGGGACAGCTTGGGGACAGCCCAGTGACCCTGCCTGGTGTCCCCAGGGGTCACAGCCCAGTGACCCTGTCAGGTGTCCCCCAGGGGTCACAGTGACCCTACCTGGTGTCCCCAGGGGTCACAGTGACCCTGTCTGGTGACCCCCAGGGGTCACAGTGATCCTGTCTGGTGTCCCCTGGGGTCACAGTGACCCTGTCTGGTGTCCCCTGGGGGGCCCAGTGATCCTGTCTGATGTCCCCATGGGGTGACACCACGTCCAGGACGGCCCAGTGACCCTGTCAGGTGTCCCTTTGCTGGCATAGTGACCCTGTCAGGTGTCCTTGAGAGGTGACACCATGCCCAGGACAGCCCAGTGACCCTGTCAGGTGTCCCCATTGGGTGACACCACGTCCAGGACATCCCAGTGACCCTGACTGGTGTCCCCAGGGGTCACAGCCCAGTGATCCTGTCTGGTGTCCCCAGGGGTCACAGTGACCCTGTCTGATGTCCCCATGGGGTGACAATGACCCTGTCAGGTGTCCCCCAGGGGTCACAGTGACCCTACCTGGTGTCCCCAGGGGTCACAGTGACCCTGCCTGGTGTCCCCAGGGGTCACAGTGACCCTGTCCAGTGGCAGCTGCTGCTTCGGGACAAACTGTGACCCCTGGGGCTGGGACCAGTGAAGGGATCCCCAAAGCCAGAGCGGGGTGAGGACACTGCGGGGTTCCCAGGCCCGTCCTTACTCCTGGGTGTAGCTGGTGACGGAGCTGCTCCCTCCCCTGCAGGGCGTGGTGCTGGGCTGCTCCTTCGGCACCGCCGCCCTCTACATCTGGGCCATCGGCATCCTGGCGGCCGGGCAGAGCTCCACCATGACGGGCACCTACTCGGGCCAGTTCGTCATGGAGGTAACGCGGCCCTCCTCGCTCCCTACTCCCTGCTTACTCTGTGCTCCCTGTTGTAGTTACTCCTTGCTCCGTACTGCTAACTCCTCACTCCTTGGCTCTTCACTCCTCACTCTTCACTCAGTACTCCTCACTCAGTATTCCTCGCTCCTCACTCAGTACTCATTCCTCCTCACTCCACACTCCTCACTCCTCACTCATTCCTCCACACTCCTCACTCCACATTCAGTACTCCTCACTCACTACTCCTTGCTCCATATTCTTCACTCACCTACTCCATGCTCTGCACTCAATGCTCCTCTCTCCTCGCTGGGTACTCCTGACTCTTACTCCTCTGTGCATTCTCCTTGCTCTGTGTTCCATATTTCCTATCCCCTGTACTCCATACTCCTCGCTCCTTACTCCTTGGCTCTGTACTCCTCTCTCCACACTCCTCACTCACTACTCCTTGCTCCATACTCCTCACTCACCTACTCCGTATTTTGCTCTCAATGCTCCTCACTCCTCACTGCATTCTCCTTGCTCTGTGTTCCGTATTTCTTATCCCCTGTACTCCACACTCCTCGCTCCTTGGCTCTTCACTCCTCACTCACTACTCCTCGCTCCATATTCCTCACTCATCTACTCTGTACTCAATGCTCCTCACTCCTCGCTGGGTACTCCTGACTCTTACTCCTCTGTGCATTCTCCTTGCTCTGGGCTCCATATTTCCTATTCCCTGTACTCCGTACTCCTAACTCCTTACTCCTTGGCTCTTCACTCCTCTCTCCACACTCACTACTCCTTGCTCCATACTCCTCACTCACCCACTCCGTATTTTGCTCTCAATGCTCCTCACTGCATTCTCCTTGCTCTGTGTTCTGTATTTCTTATCCCCTGTACTCCAATCTCCTCGTTCCTTGGCTCTTCACTCCTCACTCCTCACTCACTACTCCTTGCTCCATATTCCTCACTCATCTGCTCTGTACTCAATGCTCCTCACTCCTCACTGGGTGCTTCTGACTCTTACTCCTCTGTGCATTCTCCTTGCTCTGGGCTCCATATTTCCTATTCCCTGTACTCCGTACACCTAGCTCCTTACTCCTTGGCTTTTCACTCCTTTCTCCATACTCCTCACTCACCTACTCCGTATTTTGCTCTCAATGCTCCTCACTCCTCGCTGGGTTCTTCTGACTCTCACTCCTCTGTGCATTCTCCTTGCTCTGTGTTCCATATTTCTTACTCTCTGTACTCCACACTCCTTACTCCTTGGCTCTTCACTCCTCACTCACTACTCCTCGCTCCATATTCCTCACTCATCTACTCTGTACTCAATGCTCCTCACTCCTCACTGGGTTCTTCTGACTCTCACTCCTCTGTGCATTCTCCTTGCTCTGGGCTCCATATTTCTTACTCTCTGTACTCCACACTCCTTACTCCTTGTTTCTTTACTCCTCACTCACACTCCTTGCTCCACACTCCTCACTCACCTACTCCGTATTTTGCTCTCAATGCTCCTCACTCCTCACTGCATTCTCCTTGCTCTGTGTTCCATATTTCTTATCCCCTGTACTCCATACTCCTCGCTCCTTGGCTCCTCGCTCCTCACTCCTCACTCACTACTCCTTGCTCCATATTCTCACTCATCTGCTCTGTACTCAGTGCTCCTCACTCCTCACTGGGTTCTTCTGACTCTCACTCCTCTGTGCATTCTCCTTGCTCTGTGTTCCATATTTCTTATCCCCTGTACTCCACACTCCTTACTCCTTGGCTCTTTACTCCTCACTCACACTCCTTGCTCCACACTCCTCACTCACCTACTCTGTAATTTGTACTCCACATTCCTCACTCCTTACTCCCTGCTCACCCCTGCTGCTCCATGCCCCTACCCATACCCCATTCCTGAACCTGCGCTGCTCCTGCACTACTCACACCTTACTCCTGGCCTTCCTGGGCCTGCCCTGGTCCTGTACTACTCCCACCGTACTCCCTCCCTACTCCTGCCCAGGGCTTCCTGAACCTGTGCTGGTCTTACACTACTCACACCTTACTCCTGGCCTCTCTGTGCCCCCTGTGCTGGTCCTACACTACTCACACCTTACTCACTCGTTATTCAGTCCTTACTCCTGGCCTCTCTATTTTCCCCCTGCACTGGTCCTGTACTACTCACACCTTACTCACCTCTTACTCCTGGCCTTCCTGGGCCTGCCCTGATCCTGTACTACTTACACCTTACTCACACCTTACTCGTGGCCTCTCTGTGCTCCGCTGTGCTGGTCCTGCACTACTCACACCTTACTTGTTCTTTACTCCTGGCCTCTCTGTACCCCCCTGTGCTGGTCCTGCACTACTCACACCTTGCTCCTGGTCTCTCTGTGCCCCCCCTGTGCTGGTCCTGCACTACTCACACCTTACTTGTTCTTTACTCCTGGCCTCCCCATATCGCCCCTGTGCTGGTCCTGCACTACTCACACCTTACTCCTGGCCTCTCTGTGCACCCCTGTGCTGGTCCTGTACTACTCACACCTTACTCACTCCTTACTCCTGGCCTCTCTGTGCCCCCCTGTGCTGGTCCTGCACTACTCACACCTTGCTCCTGGCTTCTCTGTAACCCCCTGTGCTAATCCTGCACTACTCCCACCTTACTCCCACCTTACTCCCACCTTACTCCCACCTTACTCCCACCTTACTCACTCCTTACTCCCACCTTACTCCTGCCCAGGGCTTCCTGAACCTGCGCTGGTCGCGCTTCGCGCGGGTGCTGCTGACGCGCTCCATCGCCGTCACCCCCACGCTCTTCGTGGCCATCTTCCAGGACGTGGAGCACCTGACGGGCATGAACGACTTCCTCAACGTGCTCATGAGCCTCCAGGTGAGGGGGATGGGGTTCAGGTGTGCAGGGATGGGGCTCAGGTGAGCGGGAAAGGGGTTCAGGTGTGCAGGGATGGGGCTCAGGTGAGCGGGAAAGGGGTTCAGGTGAGCGGGGATGGGCTCAGGTGGGTGGGAAAGGGGCTCAGGTGTGCAGGGATGGGGCTCAGGTGAGCGGGAAAGGGGTTCAGGTGAGTGGGAAAGGGGTTCAGGTGGGCAGAGATGGGGCTCAGGTGGGCGGGAAAGGGGCTCAGGTGGGCGGGGATGGGCTCAGGTGAGTGGGAAAGGGGCTCAGGTGAGCGGGACAGGGGTTCAGGTGAGCGGGGATGGGCTCAGGTGAGCAGGGATGGGCTCAGGTGAGCGGGAAAGGGGCTCAGGTGAGTGGGGACAGGCTCTGGTGGGTGGGAAAGGGGTTCAGGTGAGTGGGAAAGGGGTTCAGGTGGGCGGGAAAGGGGTTCAGGTGAGCAGGGATGGGCTCAGGTGAGTGGGAAAGGGGTTCAGGTGAGGGGGAAAGGGGTTCAGGTGAGCAGGGATGGGCTCAGGTGGGTGGGAAAGGGGTTCAGGTGAGCAGGGATGGGCTCAGGTGGGCGGGAAAGGGGCTCAGGTGAGTGGGGACAGGCTCTGGTGGGTGGGAAAGGGGTTCAGGTGAGGGGGACAGGGGCTCAGGTGAGCGGGGTGGGCTCAGGTGAGCAGGAAAGGGGTTCAGGTGGGCGGGAAAGGGGCTCAGGTGGGTGGGAAAGGGGTTCAGGTGGGTGGGAAAGGGGTTCAGGTGGGCGGGAAAGGGGTTCAGGTGAGCGGGGATGGGCTCAGGTGGGTGGGAAAGGGGTTCAGGTGGGCGGGAAAGGGGTTCAGGTGAGCAGGGACGGGCTCAGGTGGGTGGGGATGGGCTCAGGTGGGTGGGGAAGGGGTTCAGGTGAGTGGGTATGGGCTCAGGTGAGTGGGAAAGGGGTTCAGGTGGGCGGGAAAGGGGTTCAGGTGAGCAGGGACAGGGCTCAGGTGGGTGGGAAAGGGGTTCAGGTGAGCAGGAAAGGGGTTCAGGTGGGCGGGAAAGGGGTTCAGGTGAGCGGGACAGGGGCTCAGGTGGGTGGGAAAGGGGTTCAGGTGAGCGGGGATGGGCTCAGGTGAGTGGGAAAGGGGCTCAGGTGGGTGGGAAAGGGGCTCAGGTGAGCGGGAGAGGGGCTCAGGTGAGCGGGGATGGGTTCAGGTGGGTGGGAAAGGGGTTCAGGTGGGTGGGAAAGGGGTTCAGGTGGGCAGGAAAGGGGTTCAGGTGAGCGGGGATGGGCTCAGGTGAGCAGGAAAGGGGTTCAGGTGAGCAGGAAAGGGGTTCAGGTGGGTGAGAAAGGGGTTCAGGTGAGCGGGAAAGGGGTTCAGGTGAGCGGGACAGGGGCTCAGGTGGGTGGGAAAGGGCTCAGGTGGGCGGGAAAGGGGCTCAGGTGGGTGGGAAAGGGGTTCAGGTGAGCAGGGATGGGCTCAGGTGAGTGGGGATGGGCTCAGGTGGGTGGGAAAACGGTTCAGGCGAGCGGGACAGGGGTTCAGGTGGGTGGGGACGGGGCTCAGGTGAGTGGAAAAGGGGTTCAGGTGGGTGGGAAAGGGGTTCAGGTGGGCGGGACAGGGGTTCAGGTGGGTGGGGATGGGATCAGGTGGGTGGGAAAGGGGTTCAGGTGAGTGGGGACGGGGTTCAGGTGGGTGGGGACAGGGCTCAGGTGGGTGGGAAAGGGGTTCAGGTGGGCAGGGATGGGCTCAGGTGGGTGGGGATGGGGTTCAGGTGAGCAGGAAAGGGGTTTAGGTGAGTGGGGATGGGCTCCAGGTGAGCGGGGCTGGGCTCCAGGAGCTCCAGGTGAGCGGGGCTGGGGTTCAGGAGCCCCAGGTGAGCGGGGCTGGGGTTCAGGAGCTCCAGGTGAGCAGGGACAAGGTTCAGGAGCCCCAGGTGAGCAGGGACGGGGTTCAGGAGCTCCAGGTGAGCGGGGCTGGGCACACCTGAGCCCCAGGTGAGCGGGGCTGGGCTCCAGGGGCCCCAGGTGAGTGGGGACGGGGTTCAGGAGCTCCAGGTGAGCAGGGACGGGGTTCAGGAGCTCCAGGTGAGCGGGGCTGGGCTCCAGGAGCCCCAGGTGAGCGGGGCTGGGGTTCAGGTAAGCGGGAAAGGGGTTCAGGAGCCCCAGGTGAGTGGGGCTGGGGTTCAGGAGCTCCAGGTGAGTGGGCTGGGAGCGATTCCCCTCTCCAGGCCCCGTTCCCTCTCCTGTCGCAGCTCCCGTTCGCGCTGATCCCGGTGCTCACCTTCACCAGCCTGCCCAGCCTCATGCACGACTTCGCCAACGGCCTGTGAGTACCGGGGGCACCTGGGCACACCTGGGCACACCTGGGCACAGCTACGGCTCACCTGGGCACACCTGGGCACAGCTACGGCTCACCTGGGCACAGCTACAGCTCACCTGGGCACAGCTACAGCTCACCTGGGCACACCTGGGCACACCTGGGCACAGCTACGGCACGCCTGGGCACACCTGCAGCTCAGCTGGGCACACCTGGGCACTGTTTCCCCTCACCTGGGCCCACCTACAGCTCTACTGGGCACACCTGAGCACACCTTCCTCAAACTCAGGCACAGCTGGGCACAGCTGGGCACACCTGGGCACAGCTACAGCTCAGCTGGGCACAGCTGGGCACACCTGGGCACAGCTACAGCTCAGCTGGGCACACCTGGGCACACCTGGGCACAGCTACAGCTCAGCTGGGCACACCTGGGCACACCTGGGAACAGCTACGGCTCACCTGGCCACCTGGGCACAGCTACGGCTCAGCTGGGCACACCTGGGCACTGTTTCCCCTCACCTGGGCACACCTGGGCATACCTGCCCCTCACCTGGGCACACCTGTCTCTCACCTGGGCACACCTTCCCCAAACCTGGGCACACCTGCAGCTCTACTGGGCACACCTGCCCCATACCTGGGCACACCTGTCTCTCACCTGGGCACACCTACCCCTCACCTGGGCACACCTGGGCACACCTGTCTCTCACCTGGGCACACCTACCCCTCACCTGGGCACACCTGGGCACACCTGCCCCTCACCTGGGCACACCTACCCCTCACCTGGGCACGCCTGCCCCTCACCTGGGTACACCTGTCCCAAACCTGGGCACACCTGCAGCTCTACTGGGTATGCCTGCCCCTCACCTGGGCACTGCTTCCCCTCCTCTGGGCACACCTGGGCACACCTGCCCCACACCTGGGCACACCTGCCCCTCCTCTGGGCACACCTTCCCCAAACCTGGGCACACCTGCAGCTCACCTGGGCACACCTGGGCACACCTTCCCCAAACCTGGGCACACCTGCAGCTCTACTGGGCACATCTGCCCCTCCTCTGGGCACACCTGGGCACACCTACCCCTCACCTGGGCACACCTGTCTCTCACCTGGGCACACCTTCCCCAAACCTGGGCACAACTGGGCACACCTGCAGCTCACCTGGGCACACCTGCAGCTCTACTGGGTATGCCTGCCCCTCACCTGGGCACACCTGTCCCAAACCTGGGCACACCTGTCCCAAACCTGGGCACACCTGTCCCAAACCTGGGCACACCTGGGCATGTCTGCCCCTCACCTGGGCACACCTGCAGCACACCTGGGCACACCTGCAGCTCTACTGGGCACACCTGTCCCAAACCTGGGCACACACGCCGCACACCTGGGCACACCTGCCCCTCCTCTGGGCACACCTGGGCACACCTGCCCCTCACCTGGGCACGCCTGTCCCTCCTCTGGGCACACACGCCCCTCACCCTGGCACACCTGTCTCTCACCTGGGCACACCTGCCCCTCACCTTGCCCATGCCCCCCCACACCTGCACACCCCCCCTCACCTGCACCCCCCTGACCCGCCGTGTCCTGGAAGGTTCTGGAAGGTGGCCGGGGGCCTGCTGATCCTCCTGCTGTGCAGCATCAACATGTACTTCGTGGTGGCCTACGTCATGGCCCTGCGCAGCCTGCCGCTCTACGTGGGCGCCGCCCTGCTCAGCGTCCTCTACCTGGCCTTCGTGGCCTACCTGGTGAGCCGGGCCCACCTGCCAGGGGATTTGGGGGGAGTTGAAGGTCCTGGAAGGGAGTTGAAGATCTTGGGAAGGACTTTGAAAGTCCTGGAAGGGACTTTGAAGGCCCCAGGAGGGAGTTGAAGGTCCTGGGAGGGAGTTTGAAAGTCCTGGGAGGGAGATGAAGGTCCTGGAAGGGACTTTGGAGGCACTAGGAGGGGGTTGGAGGTCCTGGGAAGGAGTTGAAGGTCCAGGAGGGAGTTGAAGGTCCTGGGAAGGAGTTGAAGGTCCTGGGAGGGACTTTGAAGCCCCTGGGAGGGAGTTGAAGGCCCCAGGAGGGAGTTGAAGGTCCTGGGAGGGAGTTGAAGGTCCTGAGAGGGACTTTGAAGGTCCTGGGAGGGACTTTGAAGGTCCTGGGAGGGACTTTGAAGGCACCAGGAGGGAGTTGAAGGTCCTGGGAAGGACTTTGAAGGTCCTGGGAGGGACTTTGAAGGCTCCAGGAGGGACTTTAAAGGTCTAGGGAAGGACTTTGAAAGTCCTTGGAGGGACTTAGAAGGCACCAGGAGGGACTTTGAAGGTCCTGGGAGGGATTTTGAAGGTTCTGGGAAGGAGTTGAAGGTCCTGTAAGGGAGTTAAAGGTCTTTGGAAGGACTTTCAAGGTCCTGGAAGGGACTTTGAAGGTGCTGGAAGGGACTTTGAAGGTCCTGGAAGGGACTTTGAAAGTCCTGGAAGGGACTTAGAAGGCCCCAGGAGGGACTTGAAGGCCCCAGGAGGGACTTGAAGGTCCTGGAAGGGACTTTAAAGGCCCTGGGAGGGAGTTGAAGGCCCTGGGAAGGACATTGAAGGTCCTGGGATGGAGTTGAAGGCCCTGGGAGGGACTTTGAAGGTCCTGGAAGGGACTTTGAAGGTCCTGAGAGGGAGTTGAGGGTCCTGTGAGGGAGTTGAAGGTGCTGGAAGGGAGTTGAAAGCTCCAGGAGGGAGTTGAAGGTCCTTGGAGGGAGTTGAAGGCCCTGGGAAGGACTTTGAAGGTCCTGGGAAGGAGTTGAAGGTGCTGGAAGGAAGTTGAAAGTCTTGGAAGGGACTTTGGAGGCCCTGGGAAGGACTTTCAAGGTCCTGGAAGGGACTTTGAAGGCCCTGGGAGGGAGTTGAAGGCCCCAGGAGGGAGTTGAAGGCCCTGGAAGGGACTTTCAAGGTCCTGGGAGGGAGTTGAAGGCCCTGAGAGGGACTTTGAAGGTCCTGGAAGGGACTTTGGAGGTACTGGAAGGGACTTTGGAGGTACTGGGTGGGAGTTTGAAGGTCCTGGAAGGAGTTGAAGGTCCTGGGAGGAGTTGAAGGTCCTTGGAGGGACTTTGAAGGCCCTGGGAGGGACTTTGAAGGTCCTGGAAGGGACTTTGACGGCCCTGGAAGGGAGTTGAAGGTCCTGGGAGGAAGTTGAAGGTCTTGGGAAGGACTTTGAAGGTCCTGGAAGGGTCTGTCCTGTCCCCACTGAGCTCTGTGTCACCCCTGTGTCACCCTCAGGACTGTCCTGTCCCCACTGAGCTCTCTGTCACCTCTGTGTCATCCTCAGGACTGTCCTGTCCCACTCAGCTCCATGTCACCCCTGTGTGACCCTGCTGTCCATGTCCCCTCTGTCCCCTCTGTCCCCTCTGTGCCTATCCCCTCTGACTGTCCCCTCTGTCCCCTCTGTCCCTGTCCCAGCTGACTGTCCCTGTCCCCTCTGTCTGTCCCTCTGTCCCCTCTGTCTGTCCCTCTGTCCCTGTCCCCCCTGACTGTCCCTCTGTCCCTGTCCCAGCTGACTGTCCCTTCTGTCCCTGTCCCCTCTGTCCCCTCTGACTGTCCCTCTGTCCCTGTCCCCCCTGTCCCCTCTGTCCCTGTCCCCTCTAACTGTCCCCCTGTCCCACCTGTCCCCTCTGACTGTCCCCCCGTCCCTCTGTCCCTGTCCCCTCTGACTGTCCCTCTGACTGTCCCCCTGTCCCCTCTGTCCCCTCTGACTGTCCCCTCTGTCCCTGTCCCCTCTGTCCCCTCTGTTGCTACCCCAGCTGACTGTCCCTGTCCCCCCTGTCCCCTTTGTCCCCTCTGACTGTCCCTCTGTCCCTGTCCCAGCTGACTGTCCCTGTCCCCTCTGTCCCCCTGTCCCTGTCCCCTCTGTCCCCTCTAACTGTCCCTCTGTCCCCTCTGACTGTCCCTCTGTCCCCCCTGTCCCCTCTGACTGTCCCCTCTGTCCCTGTCCCAGCTGTCCCCTCTGACCCTGTCCCCCCGTCCCCCCTGTCCCTGTCCCCTCTGACTGTCCCCTCTGTCCCTGTCCCCTCTGTCCCCTCTGTCCCTATCCCAGCTGACTGTCCCTGTCCCCCCTGTCCCCCCTGACTGTCCCTCTGTCCCTGTCCCCCCTGACTGTCCCCTGTCCCCGCAGACCTGGCTGTGCCTCGTGTCCCTGGGCGCCTCCTTCCTGGCCTGCGGGAGCACGGTAAGCGTCACCCGCCCCCTGCACCCGGACCAGTCGCCCTCCCACCCCCCCAAGTAGCCCAAGATGGGGGTCCCGGAGCCCCAGAGCCACCAACGGTGCCGTGGGGACACGGACAGCGCCGTGGGGACACACCCCGGGCAGGACACGGACACCCGGCGGCCCCAAATCCCCCGATGGAGCCACACCTGGGGGGGCACAGGAGCGGCCTGACCCCCTTCCCTGTTCTCCTTCAAATCCCAAATTCCTCATCCCGGTGTGTTCAACCCCCTGTAGCACAAACACTCCAGGAACGCTGCTCTGCCACTCACCTGGACAAAATAAGCTAAAAAATCCCCAAATCCCCTTTTTTTGTGGCATTTGGGGACGCTGCTGGCGTTTGGTGTGGGGTGACACTACGGCTCTGCCACCCCACCCCGAGCAGATTTGGTACTTCTCACCAGAAAACACTTCCCACGCCCACGAGGATGGGAAAACTGAGCATTAATAATATATTATTTTATCACTACTGGCTTTTAGTGGCCCCATGTGGGGTTTTGGGGTCAGCAGATGAAACGAGTTTGTGGTTATTTATGATTTTATGACTTTATTCCCTGTGATCCATAGAAATATTTCAGAGTTCTCAAAAATCCCTGGGTTTTAACTCAGAATCAGGTTGTGGAGGCTCCGTGAGCCTTTTCCAGGGGTTTCTTTGCTGCTCCCTCTTGTCCTGGGTTTAAATCCCTTGGATCTCTGGATCATGATTTATTATTTGGGATTCCTGTGTCCATCCCAGTCCTGGTTTATTGTTTGGGATACCTCAATCCAGCCCAATCCTGGTTTATTTGGGATTCCTGGATCCATCCCAGTCCTGGTTTATTTTTTGGGATTCCTGGGTCCATCCCAGTCCTGGTTTAATATTTGGGATACCTGTGTCCATCCCAATCCTGGTTTATTTGGGATTCCTAGGTCCATCCCAGTCCTGGTTTATTATTTGGGATAACTGGGTCCATCCCAGTCCTGGTTTATTATTTGGGATTCCTGGATACATCCCAGTCCTGGTTTATTATTTGGGATACCTCAATCGAGCCCAGTCCTGGTTTATTATTTGGGATTCCTGGGTCCATCCCAGTCCTCATTTATTATTTGGGACTCCTGTGTCCATCCCAGTCCTGGTTTAATATTTGGGATACCTCAATCCAGCCCAGTCCTGATTTATTATTTGGGATTCCTGGGTCCATCCCAGTCCTGATTTATTATTTGGGATACCTGTGTCCATCCCAATCCTGGTTTATTATTTGGGATACCTCAATCCAGCCCAATCCTGGTTTATTATTTGGGATTCCTGGGTCCATCCCAGTCCTGGTTTATTATTTGGGATTCCTGTGTCCAGCCCAATCCTGGTTTAATATTTGGGATTCCTGGATCCATCCTAGTCCTGATTTATTATGTGGGATACCTCAATCCAGCCCAGTCCTGGTTTATTTTTTGGGATTCCTGGATCCATCCTAGTCCTGGTTTATTATTTGGGATACCTCAATCCAGCCCAGTCCTGATTTATTATTTGGGATTCCTGGATCCATCCCAGTCCTGGTTTATTATTTGGGATTCCTGGATCCATCCCAGTCCTGGTTTATTATTTGGGATTCCTGGATCCATCCCAGTCCTCATTTATTATTTGGGATACCTCAATCCAGCCCAGTCCTGGTTTATTATTTGGGATACCTCAATCCAGCCCAGTCCTGATTTATTATTTGGGATTCCTGTGTCCATCCCAGTCCTGGTTTATTATTTGGGATTCCTGGATCCATCCCAGTCCTCATTTATTATTTGGGATTCCTGTATCCATCCCAGTCCTGGTTTATTATTTGGGATTCCTGTGTCCATCCCAGTCCTGGTTTATTTTTTGGGATTCCTGGATCCATCCTTCCCACAACACAACGGCCATGAGCCGTGGGATTTGTGGGGTTGGGGGGGACCAGAGGTGGATTTGGGGTTTGGAATCCTGCTGTCCCACCCCCACCTTCCCCAGGCTGGAAATTTGGGTTTCTCTGGCTGAAACGCTGCCTGTGCTGCACTAATTTGGGTTTTGTTTTTTTTATTTTTCCTCTGGTCCTGCTTGTACAAACCCCCTTTGCCATTAAAAAAAAATGGAGATTTCCAACTCGGCTTCTTGGGTCGTTTTTTGGGGCTGGTGCTGTTTTCCCAACCTGGGAATAAAACTCAAGATCGTTTTAATTCAGAGTTCAAACAAAAGTGGGTTTTACTTCAAGGCCTTCGGGGGCAGTTATGGAAAGATGCCCACAAAAGCCCCAAAGGGGTGAGGACATTTTTGTAGGTTTTAGGAAATTATATAATTGATAAATTAGCAATTAGGAGGACAGGTGATGCAATTCTCTCCCCGTCCCCCCTCAGCACTGGCTGAGCTCCGTCCATGAAATCTCCAGGAGTTGTTCCTGGGCCTTGGAGCTCTGGAATTTTTGTCTTTCTGCCCAGGGAAAGGCCATGGAAAAATACTGGGAAAAGTAGTTATTAATAGAACAGGCTACAGGGCCACAAATACACCTGCAAAGAATACAGGGAACATTAAAAAGAGGAAAAAAAAAGGGAAAATTCAGAATGGCATCGGGCTGAGCTGGGGCACGTCCCCCTCTCCCTCCTTCCCATGGGAATTCCCTCTGTGGGATCAGGTCCTGCCCAGGCCAGACCCACCAAAAAAAACCCAAATTCCCATTTTTTTTCCTGCTTTTGCCCCTGCAGAGGGTTTGCAGCGTCTCTGCTGCAGTCACTGCTAATTAAGGCTCATCCCTGCCCCGAAGCTAATTAAGCTGGAGCAGTTAATTGGGGCTGCAGAGGGAGGGGCTGTTCAGAGTGGGGCTGGATCGAGATCTGCCCCAATTAACAGTGGGATCCGCTCCCAATTAACACGTTCCTGCTGCTCACTGCTAATTAATGGGTGTAGGTGGGGCCAGCTCCACCCTGGGCTTTGTTAAACTGGGCCCAACTGGGGCTTCTTAAACCGGGCTCAGCTCTGGTTCCATTTACAGCCTGCCCTGCTCAGCCTCATTAAATTGGGCTCAACATTTCATTAAACCAGGCTTAATTAATCCAGGCTTTAAACCGCCCTCAATTTGAGCTTCATCAAACCGGGCCCAGTTTGGGCTTTGTTAAGCCAGGCTCAGTTCAGGGTTTGTTAAATTGGGGCTTTGTTAAACCAGGCTCAGTTCAGGGTTTGTTAAATTGTGGTTTTGTTAAACCAGGCTCAGTTCGGGGTTTGTTAAATTGTGATTTTGTTAAACCAGGCTCAGTTTGGGGTTTGTTAAATTGGGGTTTTGTTAAACCAGGCTCAGTTCGGGGTTTGTTAAATTGTGATTTTGTTAAACCAGGCTCAGTTCAGGGTTTGTTAAATTGGGGTTTTGTTAAACCAGGCTCAGTTTGGGGTTTGTTAAATTGTGGTTTTGTTAAACCAGGCTCAGTTTGGGGTTTGTTAAATTTTGTTAAACCGGCCTTCATTCATTCCATCTTCGTTATCGGGGCTTCGTTTGGGCTTGGTGAAACCAGGCTGAGCTCAGGGTTACTTAAACCAGTTTGGGCTTCCTAAAACCAACTTGGACTTCCCTAAAATCCTTTAAACTTCAACTTCCCTAAAATCCCTTAAACTTCGACTTCCCTAAAATCCCTTAAACTTCAACTTCCCTAAAATCCCTTAAACTTCAACTTCCCTAAAATCCCTTAAACTTCGACTTCCCTAAAATCCCTTAGGCTCAGGTTTCCCAAAACTCCCTTAGGCTCAGCCTGGGCTTCCCAAAACTCCCTTAGGCTCGGCCTTCTTTAAACCAACTTGGGCTTCTTTAACCCATTCTGGGCTCCCCTAAACTCCCTTAAACTTGGGCTCCCCTAAACTCCCTTAGGTTCGGGATTCCCTAAACTCGCTCAGGCCTCCTCATCCTGGCTAATTAAACCCCCGGCACTAATTGTCGCCTTCCCCTCCCCAGGGCCGCCTGGGCTTCGCCGCCCGCCCCGAGCTCTTCCTCCTCGGCCACGTCGATTCCGACCCGTCCGTCCCCAGGTGACCCCAGCGCCAGGACCCTGCGGACCCCCGGGACCCCCCCCATGCCCCGGGACCCCCGGTGCGGCGGGACGGACCCCCAGGACCCCCCCTGTGCCCCGGGACCCCGGCACCGAGCCCCGGGCGTGCGGCAGGAGCAGAGCGGGGACAGCGGGACCGGGAGGAGCCGCCAGAGCCTGGGGACACCGGGCCAGCCCTGGGGACACCCGGGATAGTCCTGAGGACACCCGGACCAGCCCCAGGGACACCCAGGACAGCCCTGGGGACATTCGGGACAGTCTGGGGACACCCGGGCCAGCCCCGGGGACATTCGGGACAGTCTGGGGACACCCAGGACAGCCCTGAGGACACCTGGGATAGTCCTGGGGACACCCGGACCAGCCCCGGGGACACCCAGGACAGCCCCGTGGACACCCGGGACAGTCTGAGGACACCCGGGATAGTCCTGAGGACACCCGGACCAGCCCCGGGGACACCCGAGCCAGCTCTGGGGACACCTGGGTCAGCCCTGGGGACACTCAGGACAGGCTGGGGACACCTGGATCAGCCCCAGAGACACCCAGACCAGCCCCGTGGACACCCAGGACAGCCCTGGGGACACCCGGGATAGCCCCGGGGACACCTGGACCAGCCCCGGGGACACTCAGGACAGCCCCAGGGACACCCAGGACAGCCCCGGGGACACTTGGGACAGTCTGGGGACACCCGGGATAGTCCTGAGGACACCTGGGATAGCCCTGGGGACACCCAGGATAGTCTGAGGACACCCAGGACAGCCCTGGGGACACCTGGGACACTCTGGGGACACCCGGACCAGCCCTGGGGACACCCGGACCAGCCCCAGGGACACCCGGGACAGTCTGGGGACACCCGGCTCAGCCCCGGGGACACCCGGGATAATCCTGGGGACATCCGGACCAGCCCTGGGGACACCCGGGACAGCCCTGGGGACACCCAAGATGACCCTGGGGACACCCGGACCAGCCCTGGGGACACTTGGGACAGTCTGGGGGACACCCGGGCCAGCCCTGGGGACACCCGGGATAATCCTGAGGACACCCGGGATAGCCCTGAGGACACCCGGGATAGCCCCAGGGACACCCAGGATAGTCTGAGGACACCCGGACCAGCCCCGGGGACACCCAGCACAGCCCTGGGGACACCCGGACCAACCCCGGGGACACCCAGGACAGCCCTGGGGACACCCGGGATAGCCCCGGAGACACCCGGACCAGCCCCGGGGACACTCGGGACAGCCCTGGGGACACCTGGATCACCCCCGGGGACACTCGGGACAGTCCGGGGACACCCGGGATAATCCTGAGGACACCCGGACCAGCCCCCGGGGACACCCGGACCAGCCCTGGGGACACCCGGGACAGTCTGGGGACACCTGGATCAGCCCCAGAGACACCCAGACCAGCCCTGGGGACACCCGGACCAGCCCTGGGGACACCCGGACCAGCCCCCCAGGCCAGGGGCACCTCGGGGCTGTCAAAGTTTTTCCCATTTCCCCCCCAAAACGGCCTGTGGGGATTTCCCCCATTTCCACTCCAGTGGGATTTTGCTCCTGGGGGGTTTTCCCCAATTTGGGGAAATTCCAGTCGGGAATTCCCGGGAAGAACCCGGTTGGCAGAGGCGTTCCCGGTATTTCCAGCAGCTCCGGGACTCCACGGGACCCTCAGAGGGGTTGGAGGGCAGCAATTCCCAAAAACGCAGCGCCGGGAATTCCCTTCCCTGCGCTTTCCCAGTTTTTTAGGAATAAAAACGACGCTGCCCAGTCCCTTTACCCGGGAATTCTGTCCCTTTTCCCGGGAATTCCGCCCTGAGGATTTGGGGTCATGGCACTGGGAATTTGGGGTCACGGCACTGGGGGTTTGGGGTCACAGCCCTGAGGATTTGGGGTCACAACACTGGAAGATTTGGGGTCACGGCACTGGGGGTTTGGGGTCACGGCATTGGAAGATTTGGGGTCACGGCACTGGGGATTTGGGGTCACGGCATTGGAAGATTTGGGGTCAGGGCCCTGAGGATTTGGGGTCAAGGCATTGGCAGGTTTGGGGTCACAGCACTGGGAATTTGGGGTCACGGCACTGAGGATTTGGGGTCACGGCACTGGGGGGGTCTGGGGTCACGGCACTGGCGGGTTTGGGGTGGCAGCACTGGAGGATTTGGGGTGGTGGCACTGGGGAGTTTTGGGGGCGGAACTGGGGGATTTGGGGTGGTGGTACTGGAGGATTTGGGGTGACGGCACTGGGGGTTTTGGGGTCATGGCATTGGAAGATTTGGGGTCATGGCACTGGGGGGGTCTGGGATGAAGGCACTGTGGGGTTTGGGGTCACAGCCCTGAGGATTTGGGGTCATGGCACTGGGAATTTGGGGTCACGGCACTGGGGGTTTGGGGTCACGGCATTGGAAGATTTGGGGTCGCGGCCCTGGGAATTTGGGGTCATGGCACTGGGGGGTTTGGGGTCACGGCACTGGGAATTTGGGGTCATGGCACTGGGAATTTGGGGTCACAGCATTGGAAGATTTGGGGTCACGGCACTGGGAATTTGGGGTCACGGCACTGGGGGTTTGGGGTCACGGCACTGGGAATTTGGGGTCACAGCCCTGAGGATTTGGGGTCACGGCCCTGAGGATTTGGGGTCATGGCACTGGGGGGTTTGGGGTCATGGCATTGGAACATTTGGTGTCTCAGCACTGCAGGATTTGGGGTGGCAGCACTGGAGGATTTGGGGTCACGGCACTGGGGGTTTGGGGTGGTGGCACTGGGGTATTTTGGGGGCTGGCACTGAGGGATTTGGGGTCACGGCACTGGGCATTTGGGGTGGTGGCACTGGAGGATTTGGGGTCAAGGAACTGGAACATTTGGGGTCACGGCATTGGGGGGGCTTTGGGGTCACGGCATTGGGGATTTGGGGGGGCAGCAGTGGGGATTTGGGGTCCGTGTCCCCCCGAGCACGGACGCGCCGGGACAGCCCCGTGCCGCTGCCGGGGGATCCGCTCGGGGGATCCAGTCCAAATCCAGTCCCAGTCCGGGCCCAGTCCAGTCCCAGTCCAATCCCAGTCTGGTCCCAATCCAATCCCAGTCCAATCCCAGTCCAGTCCCAATCCAATCCCAGTCCAATCCGTTCCGTAATCGAAGAGGAATTAAACGCCCCAGAACTGGGTGGAGTGTGCCGGGCAATTCCTCTTTTATTTTCCTACTGATTTTCCTTTAAAAATAACCCCAAAACCCAATAAACAAATTTCCTTTGTGGAAAACTGATGGAAAACGGAAGGAATTTGGGTGAAGAAAGAAGAAATTGGGGTGAAAAACGAGGAGTTTTGCAGTGATTTATTTTGGAGAAATTAGGAATTTTGGGGAAAGCAAAGGGATTTTGTATGAAGCGGGAGGAATTTGACGTGGATTAAGTGGAAATGCGATGAAAATGGAGGGAATTTGGGTTAGGATTTGGAATTTGGGGTGGATTAGGTGGAAATGCGATGAAAAAAGAGGGAATTTGGATTAGGATTTGGAATTTGGGGTGGATTAGGTGGAAATTCGATGAAAAAAGAAAGAATTTGGGGTGGAAACGGGAGGAATTTGGAGTTCCCGCTAATGAATCCGGGAGAAAAAGGGACTCTCCGTCTTAATTAACAAAATTAATTTCACAACATTTAGCGCGGAAAAGCGGCTGAGGGCAGCCCCATAGGCCACGCCCATTTATGGAAATGGGGCGTGGCTTTGCTAAGCCACGCCCATCATCACACGTGGGCGTGGCTTCAACCACTCCCTGCGATGTAAACACGGCTAAGCCCCGCCCCTTTCCCCGCTTATCCAATCAGCGCCCTCCACCCTTTTCAAGGCCCCCCCCTCGTTTGGCCCTGTACCGAAATGGCGGCGGCGGCCCCGCCCCGGGGGGCGCCTGGAAACCGCCGCGGCTCCGGTGGGCGCGCGCGCCCCGCCCCCCCCGCCCCCCCCCCCCGGTGGGAACGGCGGGAACGGCAGGTACGGGGGGGGGGGGAGGGGCTGGTCCGGTGTCCCCCTCTGTGTCCCCGTCCGGTGTCCCCGTCCGGTGTCCCCCGCCGGTATCCCCCCCCCGGTGTCCCCGCTCGGTGCCCCCGCTCGGTATCCCCATTCGGTATCCCCGTTCGGTATCCCCGCTCGGCGCCCCCGCTCGGTGTCCCCTCTCGGTGTCCTGCCTGGTGTCCCGGTCCGGTGTCCCGATCCGGTGTCCCCGCTCGGTGCCCCCGCTCGGTGTCCCCGCTCGGTGTCCCCGTCCGGTGTCCCCGCCCGGTGTCCCCGCTCGGTGTCCCCATCCGGTGTCCCCGTCCGGTGTCCCGGCTCGGTGTCCCCGCCCGGTGCCCCCGCTCGGTATCCCCGTTCGGTGTCCCCGCCCGGTGCCCCCGCTCGGTGTCCCCGCTCGGTGGTCCCGCTCGGTGCCCCCGCTCGGTGCCCCGCCCGGTGTCCCCGTCCGGTGCCCCCTCTCGGTGCCCCCCTCGGTGTCCCCGCTCGGTTCCCCCGCTCGGTGTCCCCGTCCGGTGTCCCGCTCGGTGTCCCCGTCCGGTGTCCCGCTCGGTGCCCCCGCTCGGTGCCCCCCTCGGTATCCCCGCTCGGTGTCCCCTCTCGGTGTCCCCGCTCGGTGTCCCCGCTCCCGTCACCCTCCTGTTGATCCCCCCCCCACACCGGACGCCTCCCCCCTCCTCCCTCCGCCGGTCTCGGAGGCGCTGCCGGTGGAACGGGGAGGTCCGGGGACACCCCCCGCCCACCCCGGGATCCCGTTAACGGGCGGTGACAGCGGCTGGGAACGGAGGGGAGATGGGGGTAACGGGGGTCGCGGCCCGGTTCAAGTAATCCAGGATAGGCTGTTCCAGCCCGGCCTGTTCCCGGTTACTTGTCCCGGGAGGCGGCTGGTGACGTCACGGAGGGGGGGGACCGGGGGGGGACACCGTCGGGCACCGGCGTCTCTCGAGGAGGGGTGGTCGGTCACCGGTTTGTTCATCCCGGCTGCTGCCACCCCCTTCTGATCCCCCCCCCATGTCCCACCTGACCCCCTGTCCCAAAACCTGGGGCACCCCATGTCCCCTCACATGTCCCCCCACCTGTCCCCCATATCCCACCTGCACCCCCTGTCCCCCCACCTGGGGCACCCCCTGTCCCCCCACCTGTCCCCCATATCCCACCTGCACCCCTGTCCCCCACCCTGGGGCACCCCATGTCCCCTCACCTGTCCCCTCACCTGTCCCCCCTGTCCCCCATGTCCCACCTGACCCCCTGTCCCCCCACCTGCTCCCTGTCCCACTACCTGGGGCACCCCCTGTCCCCTCACCTGTCCCCTCTGTTCCCCATGTCCCACCTGACCCCCTGTCCCCCAACCTGGGGCACCCCTTGTCCCCCCACCTGTCCCCCATATCCCACCTGCACCCCTGTCCCCCCCACCCCGGGGCACCCCATGTCCCCTCCTGTCCCCACCTGACCCCCTGTCACTCCCCCCGGGGCACCCCATGTCCCCTCACCTGTCCCCCCACCTGCTCCCTGTCCCACCACCTGGGGCACCCCCTGTCCCCTCACCTGTCCCCCCACCTGTCCCCCATGTCCCACCTGCACCCCTGTCCCCCAATTTGAGGCACCCCTTGTCCCCCAACTTGTTCCCCTGTCCCCCCCTTGTCCCTCATCCCGCCCCCCGGGGCACCCCATGTCCCCTCCTGTCCCCACCTGCTCCCTGTCACCACCTGGGGCACCCCCTGCCCCCCACCTGTCCCCCCACTTGTCCCCCCACCTGTCCCCCATATCCCACCTGCACCCCTGTCCCCCAACCTGGGGCACCCCCTGTCCCCCCACCTGTCCCCTCACCTGTCCCCCCTGTTCCCCATGTCCCACCTGACCCCCTGTCCCCCCATCTGTTCTCCTGTCCCCCCACCCGGGGCACCCCATGTCCCCTCCTGTCCCCACCTGGCCCCTGTCCCCTCACCTGTCCCCCCCACCTGTCCCCCCTGTTCCCCATGTCCCACCTGCACCCCCGTCCCCCCACCTGCCCCATGTCACCCCCTGTCCCCCCCTGTCCCCCATCCCCACCCCCCATGTCCCTCTCCCCTCTCTGTCCCACCCCCCGTCCCTTGGGACCCCCCAAACCCACCCCGGGGGGTGTCAGGGATGGGATGGGGGTACCCCACAACCTCATCCCTGCCCCCCATTGTGCTTTGGGGCTCTTTGGGGGGTCAGCAGCGCCTGGGGGAGCTGTGAGGGGGCAGGAGGGGATTTGGGGCAGGTTCCTCTGCACCTTTATTCAGACCTGTGGGGCGGCTGGCACTGCCCAGCTGGCATGGGGCACACAGGGAAGGGGGTGAACCCCCAAAATCAGGCTGGGGGGCTGTCCTGGGGGGGCTGCTCCCCACACTGGAAGCGCAGGAAGTCCCACACCTGCAGCCCACCGTGCTCCCGCAGGTACCGCCCCAGGGGCACCCCGGGCTCCAGGAGGGTGCCCTGTGCCAACAACCGCGGCTCTGAGTCGCCCCCCAACTCATCCTCGGGGGTGCCCAGGGCGGTGGGGGCCATGCCCACCACGTGCTGCGCCACCCTGCGCCCCAACTCCCGCAGCTCGGCCGAGGGGGGCTCCCCGCCCGGCCCCCCGCACGCCACCAGCGCCCCGTAGGTGCCCATGGCCACGGCGGGCCCGGGGGGCACCCAGCCGTGAGCGTAGGTGGCCACGAAGCCACCGGGGGCACGGAGCCACCCGGCCCGGCGCAGCGCCAGCCGCTCGCCCAGACGGCCTGGGGGGGGTAAAGGGGGGGGTCAACGTCGGTACCCCCAAAAAAAGGGTCCTGGAGCACCCTGCCCGGGGCTGGGGCTGGTACTGGGACTGGGGGCACTGGGACAGGGACTGGGGCACTGGGGAGGGGCACTGGGGGCACTGGAGGCACTGGGATAGGGACTGGGGGCACTGGGGAGGGGCACTGGGGGCACTGGGATAGGGATTGGGGCACTGGGACACGGACTGGGGCACTGGGATAGGGACTGGGGGCACTGGGACAGGGACTGGGGGCACTGGGATGGGGCACTGGGGACACTGGGATAGGGACTGGGGCACTGGGGAGGGGCACTGGGGGCACTGGGACAGGGACTGGGAGCACTGGGACAGGCACTGGGGGCACTGGGATAGGGACTGGGGGCACTGGGACAGGGACTGGGGGCACTGGGGGCACTGGGACAGGGACTGGGAGCACTGGGGGCACTGGGATAGAGACTGGGGGCACTGGGATAGGGACTGGGGGCACTGGGGAGGGGCACTGGGGGCACTGGGATAGGGACTGGGGGCACTGGGGAGAGGCACTGGAGGCACTGGGACAGGGACTGGGGGCACTGGGACAGGAACTGGGGGCACTGGGACAGGCACTGGGAGCACTGGGGATACAGACCGGGACTGGGGATACTGTGGAGGGGCACTGGGATAGGGACTGGGGCACTGGGACAGGCACTGGGGACACTGGAGTCACTGGGATAGGGACTGGGGGCACTGGGGGCATTGGGATAGGGACTAGGGCACTGGGGAGGGGCACTGGGGGCACTGGGATAGGGACTGGGGGCATTGGGATAGGGACTGGGGGCACTGGGGAGGGGCACTGGAGGCACTGGGACAGGCACTGGGAGCACTGGGATAGGGACTGGGGGCACTGGGGAGGGGCACTGGGGACACTGGGATAGGCACTGGGGGCACTGGGACAGGGACTGGGGCACTGGGATAGGGGCACTGGGGACACTGGGGAGGGGCACTGGGGGCACTGGAGGCACTGGGATAGGGACTGGGGCACTGGGACAGGCACTGGGGGCACTGGGATAGGGACTGGGAGCACTGGGATAAGGACTGGGAGCACTGGGATAGGGACTGGGGACACTGGGACACGGACTGGGGCACTGGGGGCACCGGGACAGGGACTGGAGGCACTGGGACAGGGACTGGGACACTGGGACACAGACTGGGGGCACTGGGATAGGCACTGGGGCACTGGGGAGGGACTGGGGGCACTGGGGCAGGCACTGGGGCACTGGGACAGGCACTGGGGCACTGGGATAGGGACTGGGACACAGACTGGGGGCACTGGGACACAGACTGGGGGCACTGGGGGCACTGGGATAGGGACTGGGGCACTGTGACAGGGACTGGGGCACTGGGACAGGCACTGGGGGCATCGGGATAGGGACTGGGGCACTGGGACAGGCACTGGGGGCACTGGGACAGGCACTGGGGGCACTGGGATAGGGACTGGGGGCACTGGGATAGGGACTGGGGGCACTGGGATAGGGACTGGGGCACTGGGACAGGCACTGGGGGCACTGGGATAGGGACTGGGAGCACTGGGACAGGGACTGGGAGCACTGGGACAAGGACTGGGAGCACTGGGGGCATCACTGGGGTTTGGGGTTCAGGGGACTTTGGGACATAAAGAGACAAAGAGGCAAACTGGGATTGCACAGAAAGGGCACTGGGCAGACTGGGAGTGGTGACACAGACACTGGGCAGAGGGGGATGGCAGAGGAGGGCACTGGGATGTACTGGGATGTACTGGGATGTACTGGGAGGGGACTGGTGTCCCCACTCACCCATGGCCAGTGCCAGGTGGTCGCTCAGCAGGTCCCCCCCGTCCCCTGCGCGCACCTGGGCGAGTTCATCCTCCCGCAGCAGGTGCTGGGGGCAGGGCTCAGAGTGGCACCCCGGCACCCCAAAACATCCCCCAGCACCCCAAAACATCCCCCAGAGCCCCAAAACCTCCCCCAATACCCCAAAACCTCCCCCAGCCACCCCAAAACATCCCCCAGCCACCCCAAAACCTCCCCCAACACCCCAAAACCTCCCCCAGAGCCCCAAAACCTCCCCCAGCCATCCCAAAACCTCCCCCAGACACCCCAAAACCTCCCTGAGCCACCCTAAAACCTCCCCCAGCCACCCCAAAACCTCCCCCAGACACCCCCAAACCTCCCCCAGACACCCCCAAACCTCCCCCAACACCCCAAAACCTCCCCCAGCCACCCTAAAACCACCCCAGACACCCCAAAACCTCCCCCAGACACCCCCAAACCCTCCCCCAGACACCCCCAAAACATCCCCCAGCCACCCTAAAACCTCCCCCAGCCACCCCAAAACCTCCCCCAGACACCCCCAAATCCTGCCCCACCACCCCAAAACCTCCCCCAGACACCCCAAAACCTCCCCCAGACACCCCAAAACCTGCCCCAACACCCCAAACCCTCCCCCAGACACCCCAAACCCTGCCCCAACACCCCCAGGCACCCCAACACCCCCAAACCCTGCCCTAGACACCCCCAAACCCTGCCCCAACACCCCCAGGCGCCCCAGCACCCCCCAAGAACCCAACACCATCTGTGCCACCCCAACTCCAGACCCCAAAACACCCCAGAACCCCAAATCCCCCCCTGGCACCCACCTTGGTGCCCGAGACCCCCTGGCAGTGCCCCAGGACCCCCCTGGCCGCCATCTCCACCAGCTGCTGGAAGTCGGGGGTCCGCGCCACGAAATCCGTCTCGCAGCCCACCTGGGGGGGACAGGGTGACCCTGAGGGCACAGAGACCCCCGGGGGGGACACCGGGGACCCCCAAACACCCCCCAACACTCACCTCCACCATGACGGCGGCCGAGCCCTCGCTCAGGACCCCCACGAGCCCCTCCCGTGCCCGGGCAGCCCCCGGGGCCGCGGCTCGGGCCCAGCCCCGGCGGCGGGACTCCTCCTCCAGCCACGCCTCGGCCTGGGGACACGAGGGGACGGGGTCAGCTCGGTGTCCCCAGGGCTGGCAGGGTCACCTCGGTGTCCCCAGGGGTGGCAGGGTCACCCCGGTGTCCCCAGGGGTGGCAGGGTCACCCCGGTGTCCCCAGGGGTGGCAGGGTCACCCCGGTGTCCCCGGGGCTGGCAGGGCCACCCCAGTGTGCTCTGTCACTGACAGGGTCACCCCAGTGTCCCCAGGGCTGACAGGGTCACTTCAGTGTCCCCCGTCACTGCCCCTCGGCCTGGGGGGACACACGGGGGGGTGGCACAGACCAGGCCCGACCCCGTTCCCCCCGGTGCCCCCCAGGTCTCCCCGGTGCTCCCCCGGTCCCACTCCCCGTTCCCCTCCTTCGGTCCCACCCCCCGGTCCCGCCCCCCGTGCTCCCCTCCCGTTCCACCCCGGTCCCCTTCCCCCCGGTGTCCCTCGATTCTCGCCCCCGGTGCCCCTCGGTCCCATCCCCGTTCCCCCCGGTTCTCACCCTCCCGGTCCTGCCCCCGTTCCCTCCGGTCCCCCCACCCGTTCTCCCCGGTGCCCCCCTGGTCCCCCGGTCCCACCCCCCGGTTCTCGCCCCATTCCACCCCGGTCCCCTTCCCCCCGGTGCCCCTCGGTCCCATCCCCGTTCCCCTCGGTGACGCCCCGCCGGTGCCCCCCGGTTCTCGCTCCCGTTCTCCCGTTCCCCCGTTCCCTCCCGGATTCCCCCACCTGACCCCGTTCCCCTCGGTGACGCCCCCCCGGTGCCCCCTCGGTCCCACTCCC